TCTTATAACTTACCCTAACTTCATGCTTCCCGTAAGTATACTTATCGAAGTTGTAGTTAGTACAACCATAGTACAACATACTTATAAGCAACTTATAAACAACTTAAAGTTCAGCAAGTACGAACTGACAATAAAGTTTGGCTCCCAGCCGCCCTCATCATCGTCCTCGGGATCTTCCGGATCCCATTTGTTCTTGTTGTCGGCCCACCATACCGGCCTCCTTTTGCCACGGTTGGTCTTCTGGCGTTTGCGAGAAGGGTTCTTCCACGACTTGTATAAGTCCTGGCACGGGCAAAGAATTGCACACATCACAATTTATTGTTCTTTAACCCACAAAAACACCCCCCCAAACAAGGCAAATATTGCGCCGAGACACGCACTCCATATTCAAACATATACTCTTTCCTTGATAGGCTTGCGCACCACAGACGCGGCAAGCCCTCAAATCCAGTCTCACTGCAGGTCTGGATTCCCCCGGCTCTCTTTCCACGTCCACGACATCGGTGGCTGGAGTGGGTACCGCGGCAGCACTGCCAGGTCCAGGTGGCGGCGCTGAAACCAAGGGAGGCGGCGCAGGTGGTTCGGCACTGGCTGCCGCAGGAGGCAATCGGCTCCTTGATCGTCTCCAAGGCGGCTCCTCAGACTCCTCAGTTGGTCCAGGTGGGTTAGTGGCGGCGGGCAGTGGTCCAGGTGCTGAACTTGACGCTCCGTGCGTTGGTGCGGAATGTCCAGGTGCTCCTACAGAAGGAGCAGCAGCTTCAGAAGCACTCGGCCCACTCAGCATTCCAGGCGGCGCGGTTACCGAGCCTTGGAGAATCTGCCAAATTTGGTGAGCAAGCTGCCCAGCCAGATTATTGGCTGCTGCTCCCGCAGGCACACCACTGCCAGTGCCGCTGCCAGGCTCAGAAGGCCTTGGCGGGGTTTCTGGCGCTGCCAACGCCACGGCCAGCCACAACAGCCAGCAGAGTCGCACCATGTCACTGCGACAGTCGGGAACACAGTTTGAGCGCTAAAAACGGCTGCGGAGAAACATGCATACATGGACCGTGCCGGTCAGAGTACAAGGTGGTGCACGTCAGTTGGCAACTGCCAAGTTTGCAACCTGATGTGGACTGTGGCGTCCCGTGCGCTGCTCCATTTTTCCGCCAAGGGAAGAAATCTTTAGACCGTGCAAGCACTAATAGGATGCAGCAATACCAGATCTACTTCGAGACTTGTCCTCGGAGCAGAAGACCCAGTGCTCGACAGCTTCACTCAAGCCGGTGAACTGCAGCCGCACTTGGGGAAAATCTTCATCAATTTGGTCATTGCGAAGGACAATGAGTTGGCGAGCCCTGGACACAGTCAGCTTCGCGATGGCGTCATCCAAGCCTTGTCGGTTCAGCAACTGGAAGTTGCACTCCTGAAGTTGCAGCACTTCAGCCAAGTCTGTGCACAATGCTCTGTTGCCATTGACAAAGGCAGGCGTCATGAAGAAGCTCCTCTTGACTTTGATCGCGGGTTTGAAAGCTAACGCCACCCCAAAGTGACCCTTGGTCTCCACAAACTTGGGACACGCAAGGATTCCACCCACGAGACCTGCAAAAAAACGTAGGGTAGGGGACACATTGGTGGGGTCTTGGCAAACAAAGATCCTCCCAGCATGCAAATCGCGGACAATAGTGGCATCTGCCGGAACATGCACGTCTGGGCAGAAGCCAACGTAGATTGGAGCTTGGTCGCACCATGCAGCCTGCGCCGTTGTCCAGATTAGTTGAAAATAATTTTCGGAATAATGAAAGCAAACAAAACTTAAAATTGACGAGTAACCTCTTTGTTGCTGACTCTGCTCTGGACCAATTTTTGATCATTGTTTCTTTGTCGTTGTGTCTTTGCGAGCTTCTCTGCGGTGGTCGCCACCAAAGCTCGGACAGCGTCAGTGATCTCCGATGAATGGATGACACCCAGCAAAGCTTCTTCAATTTGGGCCTTACTTTTTTTGTCAGCGTTAAACCGGAGTTCTGCCATCTGCTTCTCCCCAAACACTTCGGCTATGTCATCCGCAGAAGACACTGTTTTGGGCAGGCTTGCGGCGGCAGAGCTGCTGGATGCCAGCTGGTCATTGACAATCGCGCAGCCCTGCAGAAAACCAGCTTCACCATCTTTCAATTTTTTCCTGAACAAAGCAGAGAATGTTAATTGCAAGCTTGCAACTGGAAAATAATTACACAGCAGGAAAACACAGTCCTTGGGATGCACTTGTCCCACCGCTGAACTCTCTTCAGTGAACCACTTGCCCGGACTCGGCTGCAATGAGCAACCCAAACTTTCTTGGCAGCGCAGATCAGCTCCTTTTCTTCTCCTGCTCCAAATTCGGGGGACGAGACAACTTGTTGCAAAATCAACATGACTTCTTCCAAGGTAGCGTTCTCGTCTTGGGATTGACCCAATTGCTTGCTACCTTGCGCAGCTGAAAACCCACGCTCCACACCAGAGGAACTGCAGCTCCAGCAGGCCAATCGAGCAAGGGCTGGGATGAGCGCATCTGCGGAATGAACCATGCGATTCTTCTCTGTGCATTGAATTGCTTTCTTCCATGCGTGAAAATTTTCCAAGCCCTCTATTCTGGCATATTTGCTGGCAATGGGTAGGAAATGTTCGAACTCATATTTCAAAGATTCCTCCTCCACACCAATGGCCCGGGCCAACTTTTCAAGACAATTGGCTCGCTCACCACTTTCCAGCTGTTTCTTGAGCCTCGATTCATCCGAGAGGGAGAAAACACGCAGAGAGGACACCAGTTGAAAATGTGGGAATTCTCCTTCCAGCACAGATTCAGCCACAGCAACGTAAGCAGACATGCGCTTCAAACACTGACGCTTCAGCTCTTCTGTGACGGCATCTGCTCCTCCCAATTTGGCTCGAAATCCTTGGGATATCAGCAGCCGCTGCTCCGACAGGTGCTGCAACATGATCTTTGTCAGACCAACATGAAGGCAAGCTCCTTCAACAAAGAGCTTCCGGATCACACCTCGATACCGATCAAGCTCATATGGAAGTTCGGACTCATCACAGACATCTGTGTCGAATGCCCTCACCACTCTATGCAACTCAAGGGCCGCGTCCGCAAGCATGCTCAAAAGCAAAGCTTTTTCTGGAGTCAAAAACTGCAAGGTAGCAAGGCATGCTGCGCCTTCAGCCGAAGTTCGGCCTCTCATGTCTGGAACTGCGGTGAGCACACCAAGGACTGCATCCCAAGTCAAGACCAGTCGAGCAAGTACTTTGGACTCAGAGCTGTATCTTTGCGGTGCAAAAGCTAAGTCACGAATGCTCTTGGCAATGGGAACCTTTTCGTGACTTTTTTGCCGGAAGTCAGAGTACAAATCTTTGAAGACATGGCTATTGTTGATGAGTCGGGCAACAGAGTGCGGCTTCTCCACAAACTCTTCAATCACCTCCTTCAACTGCGGATCAGCTGCCCATGGGCGGCTCAACATTCTTTGCGCTGCGTGAGCGCGGTCTTTGCCAAGAACCTCAGGGAATCCAGGGAAAACCAAAACAATTAATATCCACACCACAAAGAAAAGCAATTGCGCCCCGCGCCTTCAAGTTCTGAAAAGATTGACCCATCACGTCCTGGAGCTCCACGATGTCCGGGCCACTGATGCCCGCAAGGTCACGCATGGCCAGCTGTTCATCGCCAGCTGCGTCGGCAGCAATGCATTCCACTTTGCCCATCAAGGCCTGCAGCAAGTCATTGTCACACGGTTTCTCCTCCTTGGCTCCTGGTAAGAGTCCACCATAAGTTGGCGGAAGTGACGGCGTACAAAAATTTTGCAGGGCCTTCAAAGTCATCTGCCTGATACCTTGAGCGCCGGGAGCATTGGGTGAGGCCACTACTTTGACCAACTGGAGTGTTCCATAACACACTGCTAACTTAGCGTCCACTGCACGAAAGCGGACCAAGAACCTGCGTCCACGTTGATCTTGGGCAAGGGAAACGCAGAGAGCTGTTTGGATTGCCTCTCTCTGCTTTTGCCGATGAGCTTCAGCCAAGCACCAACGCATCATGTGAGCCTTTTTGCGGTTTCCAGCATCGTCCACATCGGCTTGACAGTGACCCGGCTTGCTGTGAGAGATGACTGACTTCCATTCAGACATGGTTGGCGAGAAACCACCAATTTCCTCAAGCGCTGGCGCTTTGCCACCGGCCATACTTTCAGCAGTGCGGTGAGCAGGCGAAGCAGCATGTTTGCGGAAACGAGCCACACGAATGTCACCACTGTTCACTTCATACCTTGCAAAGTGATGCCTCGAAACCGGAAACTTGGACATGGCTTCAGGACTCACTTCCTGAGCATCATGGCACAGTCGGCAGCCCAAGCCCCAACTGCCACTCTCCATATTCATTTTGGCGTCCAACCATGCTAATTCTTTCTGCCATACAGGCTTATATTTCACCCATGTGCATCGAGCACATTTTGCACCTGCAGAGCAAGCTTTCACATGTGCATCATCATCATAGCCGCCAAGCGAACAGTTGCCCAACTGCTCTGACATACTTGCTGATCCCTAGGTTTGAGCCGGTCAAGCAGAAAGGGAAATGTGTGCGGCTTGCAGCCTAACAATAATAATGACTGATCAACTGATAGGAAAGCCTGCCAAGCTGGCTGCCGCCATGAAAGAAATTACTGAATGACACTCAGCCACTGTTCAAAGTGACCCCTTCGGCCAGTTTTTCCCCTCAGCCGCGTCTCCCCTGCGGCGATGAGACGTTGATACACTCCGGACAACGGTCAGATGCGACGTCCAAAAATGATCTTCAGCAAGTATGTGAATCTCAGTCTGGGAAATAGCAGCTTCAACAGCGCAGCTCTGCTCGGATCTTTTTGGCTAACTGGCGTGTCTCCGAGTTCTCAGCTGTCAGTGTTAAACATAGGGGTTTAGTTTAGTAACAAAACTTGAGCAAAAAGAGTCGAAACTTCTGGCGGCAGTCAAGATGCGCTGTTCATCAAATAGCCATGCTTGTCTTTGAGCCCACCCTGCGGAGAAGCTGCTGTTGAACCATCTGGGCTGAGGTTGCTGCATCCTGCTTCCATGGCTTCTCAGAATTGCAAAACAAAGTCGACCTCTTTGGGCTCACCGGCATGAGGAGCTGGCCAAATCTTGTCGCTTGGCTCGTCTGACACATGGCTGAAAACATTGGTTGAGAAAACGCTGCTACTGACACAGGAGACCTAAGGAGCCTCCTTGCGTGACTTCCCCCTAGTAGCTGCTGGTGTTGACCAATTGTCCAGGAAACTATAGAAGCCTCTCTGCGCAATGAACGTGGCAAAAAAAAAGAAGAAGTTCACAAAACACTTTTCTCAGGAGTGTCTACCTCCTTGGCCAAGGAAGCTTATATGATGAATGTCAGTGATCCTTGCTCAGGAGGGTGCACCTCCTTGGTCAGGACACTGATGGATAATGAAAACATGTCAATGATTGTTGCGTGCACCTCCTTGGTCCTGGTCAGGAGGTGTGATAATGAAAACTTGTGAATGAAATCCTTGCTCAGGAAGGTGTACCTCCTTGGCCAGGACAGGAAATCTGAATTCATTATGGAAACACTGGTAAATGATCTTTGCTCAGGAGGGTTTAGCCTTCGGCAAAGCATGTGACATATGAATTTACATGAGTTGATCATCTTGCAAGTCATGGAAACAGTAACATCTAAACAAGACAAACATGTTTGAAGCAATACGTTTTCTCCAATATGTTAAATCAAGAGAGTTTTGGGCAACACATACATATCCCTGAATGACTTGTAACATATGTTAAAAACCAACTCTATAACCATGTCTTAAAACATAGAAGCGCCACCAATCAGCGCAAAGAACCTTACTAAATCCACCCCAGTATATATATATATATATATAAGAAGAACATGATTATCCCACATGTTATCCCATTATAATCACCATTAAATTACCATTTATAGATGTATCCCATTAAATCAATTTAAATCACCATTGAATCACCATTAAATCTCCATTAAAACCATTAAACCATCATTACATCACCATTCCTAGACTAATGATTTATTTGTGATGATTTACCAGAGGCTACTCTGGCTGTCCAATCTCCACATCCCGAGGCAAGGTGCCCAGCGTCCCCAGCGCCCCGGCGCAGTCCCGCTTCGTCCGCGTGGCGGGCGGCTGGCGTCCCCGGGTGCATAGCGAGGTCCACCAGCAGCGAAGGGGCGGAAATGGCTGGTTTTTACGGGGAAAATGGTCTGGTTATATTGCAGGATGGTACCCCCCGGTTCTGTTTGTTGTTTTATAGACCATAACCCCCATTATCTAGTTCGTTATATCTACCATAAACCATAGTTGAGGGAGGTTTATTTTTTTTGTTTTTTTTTCTCTGTGTTTTGTTTTTTTTTTGGATTCTGTCTTGAGAAGGAGAGGCCAGGAAGGAAGGAAGGAAGGAAGGAAGGAAGGAGGAGGGGTAGGAAGGACGGCTATGATAGCAAGAGGACTTGCGTATGGATCAATATAGTTCAATGATGTTCAATGGCCGGGGGCGCGCAACTATATGCTGTCTTGGGGGCCCATCCCGTGGATCTATAGATGATTTTTCTATAGATGATCTATATAGTTATAAAAATGGTAAAACTGGGATCTATAGACATAGCGAACTGGAAAATGGTGCAGTTATAGATGATTTTCCACCTATGGTGATGTTCCAGTTCGCCGGCTGTGTGAAACCAGTGGGTGTGGTTTTTATTGTTGTTTTTTCTACTGTTTATAACGGGGTATAATGAGACATGCTGGAGGTTCTGCTGGGGAAATGATTTTCCATTGCCATGTTTGATTGCCGGAAGGTATTCATGTGGTTTCATTTATAACTTTCCCGATTAAACATACAGCAAGGATCTTAGGGGGGTATATCACCATTTTCAGACACACCCATGGTCACCCATGCATACACGTACTTGTATGTGGTTACAATATACAATATATCCCCTCATTGAACCCTCAAAATTGGACAGAGAAGTGATTACAACCTACCGGAAGTTAGGAACTGGTGAGTAATTTTGGGGTGTTCATCTCATGGAAGTGCTTGACTGGTCGGTAACTTTTGGTGTTGTTCCATGATTTCAGAGGTTAAATGGGTCGAGACCACCAATCCCCAGATAACCGCATGTACATTTATAGACATCGAGATAATTCTACTTGAATATCTATCTATTTTATCATGTCGTTGCTTATTTATTTTATCTACCTACCTACCTAGTTATCTATCTAATATGTTTTTGTTTTGCCATGTTTGCTGGTCAAATATTTGTCTTGGTCTCTTGCCAACATGCACTTCCCATGTTTCCTCAGCTGCAGGAGCCTCTATCACCGGTGTCCCCAACGTCCAGCAAGCATTCTGAAGGCTGGGGCCAGCGGCAGAGGACGTTGGAGGTGGGATTTCAATATCAAAATCTGAGAGTTAAGCATCAAAGAATGAGGGTTTGATCATATTTAACCAATGAAAAATGAATTTGGGTTAGTGTGATAACGGGGTAGATTCGCAAAATGGTAATTTGAGTGGGAAACAATTGATCGTTACAATCCCATTTCTAGTATTATGTAGTAGCCTTGGTTGGATCTAGTCCCACCCCTCCAAAAATCAGCACATGTGAACATACAAAGAGCCGCCAAAACCCGTGGTGTGGTCTTGAAATTTGCTCATCTTCAGGCCGGAAACGGCGTGCTTATTTTTTCCGGATCAGGAACCTTAAGCAATGGTATCTCATTGAACATCCAGTCATATCCTTCATGTAAACATTCAGATGATATTCAGATGATATGCTGCTTGACCACGCTTGACCTATAGCTGGTGAAATACGCAGTGCAAAATGATGACCGGTGAAGCTTGAGCTTGAGGTTTGAAAGGATTAAAATCCCTAAATTGAACTTGTATGGGAAACCTGGGAGAGCGCCTCGGGCAAAATCCTGGAAATATCCCAAATTCAGCACCGGGGGATGGTCTGAAGGCTCAGACCATCCAGTTTTCGTTGGTTAAAATCCCGAAAATTTTACTACTTAAATGCAAGCTTTGGATGTTGAATTCCCACTTGATGGTGAAAAAAACACTTTTTCATGGTGAAAAATCCCATTGATTCCCACTTGTATTCCCTTAAGAGTCCCCATTGTAGATGATTAAATGGGAAATACAATGGCAGAGATACGCATAATCAGTCCATTCCATGGCTATGTCTTGTCATTAATGGTGTTTTTCCAATTCTGGAGTTCCATTCAATTTCCCATGGATACTCCCAATTTCATGGTGAAATCCTATCTGGTTGGTGGTTTCAAACATAATCCTTCCCGTTGACGAACTCATATTTTTCAGGATGGTTTTTTAACCAGCAATTTCCCATGGAGATTCTCCCTAAATTTCATGGTGAAATCCTATCAATGGTAATTTCAGGATCCTAAATATGTTCTGGGGATATTCCTTGAAATTTAGGCCTTATATAATAGGCCTTATAATATATGGAATCGGTACCTCCAAGTGCCTCCAAGGAATCAGTTCCTGAGAATTCCCATGGTTTTCATGGCCAAACTGGCCCCAAGAGGTGACCGATCGCCCTGTTGGAGCGTGCCCGTGCGGTCCCTGAAGAGTCTCCCGGAGGACGCCGTGCCTTGGAGCGTCCACCGATCGGGGAAAGTGGTGGAAGAATGGTGGAAAACCGGGGACAAATGGTGGGAAACCCATGGGAAATGGCCCATAGAAATAGATGGTTTACCTATTGATAGCATGGTGGATTTTCCATGGCAAAGTGTTAAATTACCAAAAATGGTGGATTTGTTTTTTCTAGAAGACATGGAGTGAACCAACGCTGAGTGTTGATGTTCTTATTTTTTTCTCACTTGAAATTCTTGCATGAAGTGTGGTGAAATGATGTTTTTTTTTTGAATTGTTCCTACTTGAACTTGGAGGGCCATGCTGGTTTTGCAGAGTCCATGTTGGTACCTCCGAAAGGTTGACCAGAATATGTCCATCCAAAGGGGCATGTTTTGTTGGTTCAATCAAAGTCAACCGGTCAACCCCCATGGTTCAACGTGGATTAAATGCTCAAATCCACCATCTTTGTCCTCTTCAATCTCAATTTGGCTTGGAGAAATCCGTTTACATCCCCATGTTCCTTGCTTAAAATCCTCACTTTGCTTGGTAAATCACCATTTCTGGTTGGTGGTTTGGAACATGACATTTATGACTGTCAATTCACAATCATCCCATTTGACTTTCATATTTGTCAGAGGGGTAGGTCAACCACTAACCAGATTATTATTAGCCATCATTAAACATATAATAACGTATAATAACCATATATTAGCCATTATTAACAGTATATTAACCACAATGCTAGGTATACCACCAACCAGATCTTCAAACCAAACCGCTGCATCATGGCCTCCCAAGAGCCGAGGTGAGCCACGTGCGCACCACGCCTGCGCGCGCGGAGCTCTCGCGGCCGGATGGTGAGGCAAGAGAGAAGCGGCCGTACAGGACTGACCTGAAGCTGGTGCCCCTACTGATAAATTAAATGCAATAAAACACACACATATATATATAATTATATTTATACACATGTTAATAGCATTAAATAGCTAAGGCTATATATAATTTATCTAAATAAATATATTTATATAGTTTATCTAAATAAACATGTTTTTAGTTATGTTATATGTTATATCATTTGCAGATATACATATAGAGACACATCATATACATACCGGTATCTATCATAATTAATGGATGTTTACTGAAATATTAATATTTTAGCATTTGTCCAGTGCTTAGGAGGGCGCTGCTTGGAACTATGGTTGCACTATATTCTCAAAAAGAGGTGGCCAACCATGGAACTACGATCGTTGACCCACCATTTGGGGAATCTATTGTGAATATCTTATTGTGTTGGCCCTTTTACAGGCTTAACTACCTCGGCTCCAGACATGTGGTATTTACTGTTAAACAAATGATTTAAGCCACAAATATTGGGATATAATTGTTACATATGGCTATTGATGGGATATATTAGGATACTTCCCGTGCAAACATTGATCTGTCAAAAATTACGGCTTACACTAACCAATCTGTCGATGAGGAGACAAATCAAACCTTCATGGAATTGTAGGACTGACTTTCAAATTTAGTGGTTTGACCCAAGGAATATTCACTCAGACGGAATGCATGCGTTTTTGCCATTCTGTTTTTACAGGGGTGTTTGATGTTTATGTTAATAATCGCTGCAAATGGGGTGTTGGGGCTGAATGTTTCAATCCCTGCTCCAACTCTAGAAGCCAACTGAATTTGAGATGGTGTGGTATACTCTTCTTGGAATACCTCATGAATTCGACTATAGATTTAACATGATTTAACATTATTGAAGTATGTTGCAACTAGTTTCCTTTTGCTGGTAACAAGAATTTCTGGTGCTTGCCCAGCATCGGCAGTCGACTCTCATGTGGCTGATTGATGAACGGAGATATGGGCGCACATGCCCACAACAGTGGTCCTGTTGCCTTGTCCATTTGCGATCTTCAACTGGTGAAATAGAAGGACAGTTCAAATGGGATAGCAAAGATGACATGGATGTAAGCTAGTGTTCTATCACATTAGTTGTTATGATTGTGTTTTTTCTCCGCGCTACTTAAAGTATATGATAATCATGATGGTTAATGATAAATATATTAAGTACTATTAAGTCATGTTTTGCGCATGGGTTTGAACTCAAGACCTAGCTCCGCCAGCGCCAGGAGAGATCCGCACTTAGCCAAAGAGCTACACTTGTGGCCAAAGAAGTTTTTGAAGGACCGACCAACTGATAGGGTTAATGGTGGTTAATAATGCTTGTATACTGTAATACAATGTACCCTCTGGTTATTTAACATAGCCATGGAAAATGGCCCATTTATAGATGAAATTCCCATTAATACCTCCATTTATAAGGGATTTTCCATGGCTATGTTAAATAACCAGATGGTAATACTAGTTAACAATGGCTAATATGAATGAATAGTGGTTATTGTCCGGTGCCCTCAAACGTGGCTTGCTGGAAAACCCACCATTTAGTTCAATGATTGTCCCAGTGAAAATCACATCCATTTAGTTAGGGGGTTTCCAGCCAGCCACGTTTGCTTGCTGAGCTGTCCCGGGTGTGGTGAAAGAGAAGATTGGGGAGGGGAGCATCCCACTTTCGCAATCCGAGTTCCTGGCTAGTGGTGTTGCGAGGGGGGCCATGGTGAGTTTATTTTGGATCTAAAATATTGTTTGGCAGTCACTGAGTTTCAATTGTTTTATGTACCCTCTGGTAATTTAACCTAGCCAGGGAAGCCATGGCCCATGAATTTAGATGATTTACCTGTAAAAAAGTGGTGAAAAACAGTGGTGATCGTCCATAGTTATGTTAGTTTACCAAATGGTATATAAACGGTATATATGCATGTTTTCTTTACAATGCAGATGTTTTTTTGCTTTACAACGCATTGGTTCCCTTACTGCGGGTTAGTTGAGGTTATTCCCAAGAGTCCAGGGGGCATTTGCCATCAGCCTATCATTGCTGATCAACAGTATCGCCATGAAGCCCCTATATTTCACCCTCAAAAGTACCACAAGAGAATGATTCACAAAAGCGTTTCACGATTTTGGCATGTGAAATTAAAAACAGTTTGCCAATGTCTATCTGTTTTGGAGGTTGCATATCATGGATAGTATCCGGTGGCTTCCCAATAGTTTCCATGTCCAACCAATGATGATCTCTTTGGCTTGGGCCATGGCCATGGCAGGAGCAAGAAAAGAAGGCGGAGGCTGCCGCGGCCACTTTCTGTCCGCTCGAACAGAAAGTGGCTGGGCAGATCATGGAGCGCAGTCTTCGTGCGTCGCAGTCATTCTACATGCGTCGATATGCATGGGATCAAATGGGACATGTACCCTCAATATCACTCAATCAAACGTGGAAATGGGACTGAGCTAAATGGAGGTCTTCATAGGAAAATCCCTGAGCTAAATGGAGGATTTTCCATTGCCATGTTTTATCTGCAGAGGGTAACCAATTGATGGGATAGTAATCCTTCGTAGTCATTTTGGTGGGCACATATTTGATATCAGCCAAAGGCTAAGTCATTCATTTTTGGCATGGTTTCGAAGATCAACCATGTTTCCGTTACTGGGTTCATGTGGTTTCTTTTTTCGTCTTCCCTGAAGTTGTCTCAGGTCGGTGTGCCGTGGGGAAGTGTGTATAAAAGCATTCATGGGTTGCTGTATCTAATCTAATGTCTCCACTGCATCCTTGTGTTCTTGATCTAGATGATAAATACTATAAACATCACCAACACCATTATTATCAACCACTGTCTTCACGTTATATATTAACCACCATTAACCATCATTACCCAATTGTTGCTTATTGCTAACCAGCATTAATAATGTGCAATCAACAAAATGAACGAATCGCATTATTAATTTATAATATATATATAGGTTTGATGTATAAGTGTTATTTAAGTATTTGCCATCATTTATTTACCACTGTATATCCCCATTATTGACAACCATGATTAGTCACCAAAATCTTTGGTTCCCCGGCCCCTGGACCCTTGGTGTAGACCCCCAGGCGGAGGACTTGAAACATTTGCCACGCGAGAACACCGCGGACAGCGGTAGCAGGTGCGGCTGAAGATGGCTGAAGGGTCACACCATGTCACATCCTTAACAAGGAATGGATGGAATATTCTCTGGTAAACTAACATAACTATAGAACATCACCATTTTTAGTGGGAAAACTCACTATTTCTATGGCCATTTTCAATAGCAAACTGTTATTTTACCAGAGGGTAACAATGATGGATCCAAGTACTGAGGAAGTATGACTGGGGGTTGAGTACTAGGGTGTGAGCCGTACCCTTCTAACAGCAGGTGTTTGGATCCATAGGGATGAACAATCATGGATGTAACTGATTTAATCTTGACAACTTGAGATTTATATACATAATATATATATATATATAATGGGATTTAACATGATTTAACCATAATTGATTATATTTGAGGCATGAATATAATAATATTTGATATGTGTGAAATGGGATTCAGCCCCCAACATGGCGAGCTTACAAAGAAATTGACGATTAGCCTTGATTTTTTGGGGTGCATTAATTTCAGGCAAACTCGACATGTTACTGCACCCCGCCTGCCCAAAGGTAGTCAGACGATGTCAGACAGTTATACCTAGACATAACGCCGCACTCACACGAACAGCGACTATTGTGTTTATCATCTCGAACAGCGACCAATGTGTTTATCATCTCTTGAAGTGGTTTTCCCCCTTGACCTTCACTATTCACAGCCAGTCTCTGATTCGAGTCATATATATATATATATATATGTATATAATATAGATACAAATTATACACATGTATATATATATATATATGTGTGTGTGTGTACTTTAGAGTAAGTTGCATGGGAGGTTATGAACTGGTGAGTGACCATAGTTATAACCCACGAATCCAACCCACTTGCATCGAGGACGAATCCTTTCACCAGCCGGTTAGGATCCCTCGGTTGGCGGATCCTCCAAGTATATGGCAATGTCACTGCCGAAAAATAGCTGAAGCAAATATAACCAAATTCTATCTTCAGAAAAAAGACGGCTAAACTATGCTAAACGAAGTTATATAAGTCCGATAGGATTCTGATAGGCTTCCATTTTCCAATTATTCCCAGAGCAAAACAGCAACCCATGACGTCCGCCCAGGCGGAGTAGTCCTGCACCTCCGCAGCCGTCTGCTCCTTTCGCAGCACGCAGGGGGAGTAGCTTGGCGGAACAGGTCTCCAGTTTGGATTTGCCAAGCTGCCAATGCAAAAGCCGGTCCAGAAAAGGGTGCAAAGCTAGGATAGCTTGCACCTTTGATAATCCTTGTAGGAATTGAATGGCCTGGATGACTGAAAGCCAGATTTTGTTGATGCAAACACTTAGCTACAAGCCGGGATGCCTTAATGCTGGAACAAATGAGTTGTATATAATGTTCTATTATGATTGGTCTCTTGGGATCTGAGATGATCTGAGATGTTTCTATGAAATGTAAAATGATTGAAACACGCTACCCTCTGGTGGTTTAACAGTTTGCTATGGAATATCGCCATGGTTAGTAGGTAAATCATCGAATTAAATGGGCAATGGCTTCCATATCAAACCGTTGAATTCACATAAAACAATCCCATTATATCCCAAGCATATTATGTATATTCATAGTATTCCCATGATATCCTTTCTGGTCTGTCGTCATGCCGATGGCAAGGCCTTCGTCGAGTCTCCGTGGGCGATCTTTCTGAGAAGCGACTTGGGATCTGCGCAAAGTATATTGACCTCACTCTTCTCCCTCACTATAATCATAGTTAGATTGCGGGAAATCATCCCCAGCCATGGCCGCAAGATTCAGGTTAGTGAAATATTAGAATTTACCCAGATAGATGGTTACTGTAACAAGTTCCTCTGGTGGTTGGTTGGTTGATATGTGGGGTCACCCTTAGTATTGGGGAAGTCACCCTTGGGGGTTGGATGCTCATTATGGATGTGTTTCAACATGCTATTTTCCGACCAGATGGCCACTTGACTGAGAACATGGTTAGATCAACCATGAGATCTTGGAGCACCCTTTGTTCAGACAAAAGTCAGTCAAACCCATATTAGGGTGTGTGTATATATAAATAATTGTAAATGTATATATATATATATGCATATCATTATATATATAATTGTAAATGTATATATATATATATATGTAAATGTATATGTATATAAATATATATGTGTGTATTTATAAACATATATATATATATGTATATATGGATCGATGATGTGAAAGTCTTGCGGGTCCATCCATGTTAGGGCTTGATTTGTTTTGGCAAAAAGGGTGCGGTTTTATGTGTGGCGTGGCCACGCCACCAGAATGATTTCATGGAGATGTTCGTAAGTCTGATTATTCAGTCAGTCAGAAATTATAACCACCTCAAACGACAGGATCACAATGACTTGTGTTGAAATTATTTGATATTTGGTGAACACATTGTTCCAAACAATCAAGAGCTCAAGTTTGCCACATGGCCTACCTTTGTCAAAGCTCCCTGCAAGTTGGGGTTATTACTGTAGATCTTCTTAGATCTTGTTAGTAGTTGCTCAAAGGCGCATGCCTTCATACTATCATCCACAAGAAAAAGCAAATCTCCCCCCCGCAACAGAAGCATCCAGCATCAATCCCTCAACTGGTTGGCGGTTTTAACTTAATGTTTTTCGTTTTCAACAAGCATATTTTATCACATTGTCAGATGATGTCAGATGAGTTGAAACATGATTGAAACTATAGTCTAAAAATCCATGGCACATCCTTGAAACTCAGCGCTGTTTTTTCCAGGGGACCTTGGGCAAATGGCCGAACAAATGGCCGCTGTTTGAGGCTTCGGAGGGCCTCAATGAACTCAATTGCCATGTCTGAGAAGTCTGAGAGTGACACCGGAGGCCTGAGCTTGAGTCTACGAAGTGGTACATTCCCCAGTTTGCTTTCAATATCTATAGATTTATCATGGTTTACCTACCTTTGAGGCATCCCAGCCAGCCATAGTGTCTTACTGGGGCAGGCGGCGACCGCTGCGCCGCGGCGCGGCAGGCGGCGGAGGCGGCCGTGGCGGAGGCGGAGCAGCAGCGGCTGCCGGCCGCGATCTGTCGACAGCGCAGGGTGGAGGCCTACGCCGAGGCACGGCCGCGTGGCCACAGGGGAGGGCAGAGTCCTGGAGCCTTGGGGTTGGATGATGATTACTTGGGTGATCTTGGGTGATTTTGATGTTTTGATTTTTTGTGGGTCATGTATATATATATATATATATAGAAATACTTGGATTTGGATGGCATCACGAATCGGTGATGTATATGTGTTATGTTGATGGTTTGATGCTAGAATTAGTTTGGGAAACACAATGTGAAGCATGAAGGTTGTTGTTGTGGGAGGCGTTTCTTTTTCTTTCCCCCTTTCCAATCATACAATTTTGGGAGAATGAGATTGGCAGGCGGCAACCTGCAAAGGGATGATATGTCTTTTTTGGTTCCTGAGGTGATGTGCTGACTTGGGGGCACATGGCTCAGCTTTCCTGCAAGTGGTGCTGTCCTTTTCAGCCATGTGCCATGGTCGTAGATCCCCTACACATATGTCCCAGATCATCCATGATTCTTCGGGATATGGTAATAAGCTACCGACTAAACATTGACAAGACCCTATAACATGGCAATGGACAACCCACGAAGAAGGGAACAGTGTTGGAATACACGGACATGTTTTCCCTCTGTTTCCCGACTTTGAACCAGGTTTCTCATTAAAGCCAATGATTTGCCACCGGACTTTGCGACAGGCCTTGCTGCGGGAACCCGAAATCCAACAGCTTCAAGCCGAACGAGTCAGAGGAGGTCTGAACTGGATGTCCATGGGGGGTTCATTTGTGGTTGATATGCACAGGATTGTACAGGATACAGTATATCCACAATATGGTGCATTTATATATTTATATATATAATTATATATGTATATGACATGGTTGATGGCGATATCGTTGATGGCGATGGAACAAAAGCAAATGTGTATAGGATTGATTGCAGTGGACAAGAATCTCTGGTGTCAAATGCGTTGAAGCCCTTGAAGAAAGAAATTAAGATCCCACAAAGAAGCACGTGCCAACCGGACCCTTTGCATTTTTTCGAGCGAAGTTGAGTGGTGGTACCACCCCATTGAAGTTGCTCCAGCTGATCTGGAAGATGATACACAGGAAAATTGCAGCTTGTTTGGGTTCCAGCTTCAATCTTTTTGGGAGCTATTCCAGATTTGAAAAATAGCATGTCAGATGACCACTACCCCGGACATTCTCGGATCCCTGGACAGGTGTTGGTATGGAAGACCTTGATGAGGCGGGAGTGGTGTGTTGATGTATTGATGTAGGTTTACTATCCTCATCTCTATAGAATTATTGGTGTTTAAACAATATACACTTGAATTTTTGAAAGAGAGAGAGAGGGAGACACATATACTGATATAGAGGTGTATTCCGGCATTCCAGTGTGTATATGGAACCAGAGAGAGACAGAGAGAGAGAGAAGAGAGAGAGAGAGAGAGGCAGAGGCAGAGGCAGAGACAGAGACAGAGACAGAGACAGAGAAGGAGAAGGAGAAGGAGAACGAGAAGGAGAAAGAGAAAGAGACAGAGAAAGAGACAGAGAAAGAGACAGAGCCAGAGACAGAGAAAGAGAAAGAGAGAAAAAAAATGACCCCTTCAACCCAGATCTGACCCAATAGCGATGATCCAAGATGCTGCAGCTCCGTTCCCACAGTGACAGCTCCTGGCAGGTGGATTCGGAGTTGGAAAAGCTGATCAAGGACCCGGCAGTTGGCGCCCAGGGACAAACTGGATTTCGCCAAGAAAACCTATCGCATATGACGAAATCTGGCCATAAGAATGGTAGCCAATTGGTGAATAAAAACCGAACAGGAATCAACAGGCAATTGCAAAAAGGCCCACAAGAAAAGCACGAACAGAACAGTGCCAAACAGTTCCAAGATGCTTGAAGAATATTGTTTGCTATGTTTTCACTCGTCGCTTTAATTTGGGACCTTTATGGGAAACTTCCTGCTGCTTTGAAGTTTCACGTGCTGTTCTGTTCCATCCCTAGCTTGCATGATGACCTTCCATTCACTATGATATTGATATTATTTGATATTTATTTATCCTTATATTGATATTCATATTATCCACATGATTCCTTAAATAATATAGATAATCGTTCAGTCCTGTAATGTCCAAAAAACCACTAAACCACTAAACATCGTCCACCATTGCGCCAGCAAACTGTCACTGGGTGTGAAGGAAGACTTGGCTGAGCTGGCAGAGCTCTTTGCGGAATTCGATGGGACTCTGGAAGGCGAGATTTGATGATCGATGTGGGAAAAGCTGGGGACATGTTGGGAACATCTTCACCGGAAACCATGGGTTTACATATGTTTACATGGTTTTACCATGAAATGTAGATTGATTAATCATTAATTAATACAGTACCCGTACTGGTAGGCTATAAAGCTGCAGGGTTTAATTGAAACCAACGCTGGGAAGATGAAGGAACTGGATCTTCGCCTTTTTGTAATCGAACCAGCCTGGTTGGGAAACCGGTTTTTCATGGGTCAATAGTTCCATGGGTACTCTTGACAACGGATTTTCCAATATCACTTAAGAACTGGGCTGGAAACTAGGATGGAAGTAACAGAGATTTAGCTGGACATGATGATGGATAGCCTCCGGTAAGATCCGGTAAGGTCAGTGGTAAATAGTTGGTGAGTAAGCTTGTTTGAAGTCATTTCTTTGGTGAATGGGCCATGAGATTTCTCTTGGCAAAAGACAATGCCTTTGGAGCATGCTTTGGATGATCTTGGAAGCCAGCGAGCGGGTGGTTGCATTATGATCCATTTCACAACTGGCTGGTGGTTTGGAATATTTTTTTAATTTTTCCATATATTGGGAATAATGATCCCAACTGACTATATAATATATTTCAGAGGGGTTGAAACCACCAACCTGACAGTATATATATATATATATAGCCGAATTTCTTTCGTCGTTAGCCAGGTGCAATTCAGTCTCTGGAATCATTGGGTCAACTCCTCGTTTTGCTGGGTCATCTCAGTCATCTCCCCATTTTTGCTCCAGCCAAATCAAGAAAAATAATCACCATTTTTCTTGGGTCTATTCAAGTACATTCAAATCAAGTTTTCACCATCGTTCATGGTGGAATCTCCATGTTGAATAATGAAAAGATGCTGAGGCCCTCCAGTAATCAAACGTGGCTTGAGGAAAAATCCGCCATTTGTTTTTTTTAATGTTCCCAGCTAGCCACCTTTGATCACACCAGAATTGAATAGGGTAAATCCTTTGTTTTCCTATTAACACATCACATATCCGTTGTCCTATATCAATCTCTCTGTTCCCTATTCAAATCCTTTTCCCATTCATGTCCCGTCTCTATTTACCAGTTTTTCATAATGTTAAAAAACTCGTGAAAACCCATCATTTTCCTCTTGAAATCTTTATTGACCAGATGCTACCCTCTGGTCACCGATTACGTAACTATGGAAAATCACCATGCTATTCATGGCTAAATCCACTACCAATGGCCATTTTCAATAGCTTTTTGTATGTTTACCAGAGGCGAATCCCAGCCTTTTTTGAGGCGTCCTCCAGCAGCACGACGTCCGTTCCCTGCTGCGGCTGCTGGGCCGTGCCCTGACGGAGGACGACGTGCGCACCTTGATGCGCGGCCTGGATCCCCTGGGCGACGAGCGCCTGGGACCGTAGGGAACACCAATGGCCGTTGGATGTTTTTTTGGGGATAGAGAAATGGTGATTTACAGATTATATGTGGATTATATATATATATATTCATCAGATTTAAATTGGGATTTGTGAGAGGAATCTGCAATTATGGATTTGATAGTTGCGATATGGGAATTATGTAATGGATATGAATTCTAGATTCATGGTTTTATTTACCGTATTTTACCTCGAATCCTATCCTATCTACAGTATTGATTTTTTTTGCCTGGAAAACACAACAATTTACCATCCCTAAAATGGACATAAATGGGTGCTATAAACCACCCCAAATTGGTAGTTTGATTATTGGGGTTTCAACATTAGATTATATAGATTAGTGATATTCCATTAGTCACATTCCATACATTCCATGAATACTTTTTTTTTCAGACTTACCTTAGTTATTCCATTCATTAGTTTTTGGTGTCAGGCAAGCATTACAAATAGTCTAATAGTCATATCAGTCATATCCCAAAGTTGGATGATTTTTTTGCGGTTTTCGTAAAGCCAATCAATCAATATTGGATATATTGGATTTACCAGGTATGCGACCCAATGATCATAACTATCATAACCCCCAAAACAATCAACCCAATAGTAAGCCCAATAATTTTCATAAACCAATAGTGGAGGTTATGACAGTGGGTCCTGGTTAATGCCCCTACTGGGATGATTTTTTTGGGGGGGTCTGAAAACATCATTTTCCAGGGCGACAGGCATCACCTCTCTTGATGGGGCCCTGGGGGGGTAGGACTAAGTTGCGCATATTGGGGATGACCTGAGCACACCTATGATAGGAACATTCACTAACCATGCAGTTTTTGGGGATGGTGAGTCCGCGATATCTTTGGGAATTGTGGCATGATGGAATGTAATATAGCTATGAATAGCTATGATGTTTCTTGCTTTCTGTTTCGTGGATATATATATATAGTTTCTGTGTGTGTAAGATATTTTATAGGATGACATGGCCCAAATATAGATGATTTCCATAGCTATGTTCAATTATCAGAGGGTAATGGAGATTTCAAGTGAACAAACTTGTGGTATTACAATGGTGATATTAGGAGGGCGATGGGGATATGATTGGATACGTGAGGTCACTGGAACGATGGTTAGAGAAAGCAACTATCCCAAAGTGACGGAACTTGTAGTGATGCATTGTAATTGCCCAGACTGGTCATTGAGTTACTTGAGTGGTTCGTATTTTTTGAAAATTGCTTATAAACAAATTAATTATATCCCCACTGCATGGATATATATATATATATAATATATAATTAGCTATAATGTGTATTAGACAGTAACTGGAGGTCCTTCTATAATCCCGATAAGTCAAGGTAGCTTTATTATGTTTGGCTGGAAAAATCCAAACTTTGGGAACATATGGGTCGATCATCGAACTAAATGGATGATTTTCCATTACCATGTGACATGCAGGGCAATTGATTGGTAATGTGCTAAGCCCACTATATAGAATGCTGTTGTTGACACGTTGGGCAATGATCTCAGCAGTGGTCACCGGCGTGCATATGTTTTTTTTTGGCAGTAAGACACTGTTGAACTGTAAGGGCATAGCTAATTTACTGGTGCCTCTGTATCCTTGTTCGATTGTCGCTGTTGTAGTGGTTGTAATAGCTGGTGCTGGTCGTTGCTTGTGGTTGCTGGCAGTTGGAGACCCACAGCTGCTTTAGGAACGAGATGTTTGGAGACATTGGCTTCAAAGAGTTTGTAGAGCTTTGCGACATGAGGCACTTGGGATCCAGCACAGCTCTACATTAAGAGACCCAGCAGCGCATCTTGACCCTCAAAGTATCCATAGATATGGTTTCAGCGTAGCAACATTTTGGTTAAACATGTTTTTTATTATTTTTTTACATATATATATATATGTTTATTCTGGGCCTAGCTTGAGGGTACGAGTATGGATGTATTATACAGCCATAATCCTGAAACTCAAAGTGGAACCCGGAAGTTTGAAGTTTGGGTCGCACAGAAAAACTAAGCCTAAGCAATAGCGATACATCCAGGCCGGGCATGCCCAAACTTCATGATCTGAAATCATACGCATATATAAAATTATATAAAGTTCCGAGTTAAACTGAGGTAAACCACCATTTTCGAAGCGGATTCACCCATTTGTATGGTGCATTTTTGGGCCAGGATAAAACAGAAAACACAGGTCTGGAGCTTCCTTTGGAAGTGCCACGGTTCTTCTCGCAATCGACGCGCTGTGGAGGCTGCATTCCGAGAAGCTCTACCTGCGAGCTTTCTTCCGGGACCGCTGCGGCCTCAGAGTTTTGAAGACCATCAGCCAATGATGGGCAATTTGTTCAGCAGCGATGTTCATGTGGCAATCTGTGTGGATATGTGGCACGTCATGGTATGTCCAATCTGTATACAATCGTTTTGGATTATCCCATGCAGCCGAACATGATCCTGGTAGATGTAGGGGTGACCTCTCACCTCTCGCAGCTGTGCGTTCAAACCTCCAGAAACCATGCAAAAGACTAAATAGGGCAATCCTCCGCAACTACGTTCATATCTTGCGCGGTCGGCTCGGTGCCAGATTCGATCTAATCTCAGCATAGTGCATGAATTTTAGATGTCCCTTACTTATGCGTTTCTACCGCCACCATCCGCCACCATGATTAGATACCATCATACAATGGCAATCCCAATGTTCCGCTCTACTGCCAATTTGACAATTTTTTGACATAAGGTTGGTTTTGACATATGAAGTCTTGGTCAAAACGCAGGGGACCCCCACCCCTTTGGGCCACGGCACCCCGGCGCCCAGTGCCTGCCGTGCCATGGCGGCCGTGCGCGTGACCCTGCAGGGCCTCAACGGCGAGGTGATGCTGGGCCCGGTGGAGGTTGAGGCAACGACGCGGGTGAAGGAGTTGAAAGAGCAGCTGGACGCCTGGATTTGCTTAAGATGATTTTTTGATATTGTTTGATATTTTTTATTTTCCCAATGGGAAATCATGGGAATCCACTACCTGGGGAATCTACGGAATATTTTGTCGTTTTTTTTTGGGGGGGGGTTCCTCAAAAGCAATCCCAAGGAAGCGAAGGTGCTGGAAGAAAGTGGTGAGACCAAGGCTTTTCAACTGCTGTTGAAGGAGACCAGCCCGAAGCTCGATGCGATGCTGGGAGAGCTGAGAGAACTGGACCCTTCCAACACTCACGCGCTGGACTTCACGGTGGTGGCGCAGGACGGCTCGGTGTCAGCGGAGCTGAGGAAGCGCTGCGAAGAAGCGCGGCGTAAGAAGGAGGAGATGGCAAGAAGGAACAGTGGCTGGTTGGAGGAGAGGAAGACTGCCAGTGTCGAAAGGAAACAACAGAAGAGAGAAGAAGATCTTCAAGACTATCATTGCGCCCTGGAGGACCTGATCTCACAGCTAGCTGGTGATGCTTTGCACGTCTGCCGACATCAAGCAGCCAAAGGACTATCGGAGGCAACGTTTGACTTTCAACACGCATTCCAACAACATGAGCTGGGAGCAATGATTTTCTTCAAGCGCAAAGCGGAATACCTTCGTGAATCCTCCATTTGGAGGGGCTGGTACTTCAGCGTCCATGATGGTTTGGATCCCAATGAGGGAATCCAAATGGGCGGAGATTACTTCTATCGCTTCATCATCACCTGTCGCGACCTTCTGGTTCCACACCTGACCCAGCTCGGCCTTCAAGTGACCAACAACAATCAACTAATTCACGCCATCGAAATCCGATGGCCGGAGCCCTGATGTGGGAAAAAACATCGACCCAGCTGTGATCCGATGCCATTTGGTATGCCAAGGTAATCAATTTCATCAATCTGAACATGATCCACCATATTTATATAAAGTGATGAACGAAAAGATGATTCAATGAACGTTGGCCACCCAACTGAGTGTCTCTTTTCCACCACGGGGCTTGCATAATTTGCTTCCAATATCTGGCAATGTCTTTTTAGTCCTTCGGGCGCGTTGATCACCGGGTTTACTGCAGAGGTTTCCGCGGTGCCAGCAGCAACTGCATCCAGCCGCACCTGCGCGATGTGGCAGAAGCTTTGCAAGGCGTCAAGGCGTCAGCCTGGGGCTGGTTGTGGGGGATGGAGATGGGGATGAGGATGATGATGATGGTGATGGTGATGATGATGATGATGATGATGATGATGAGGATGATGATGATGATGGTGATGGTGATGGTGATGATGATTGTGATGGTGATGATGACGGTGATGGTGATGGTGATGGTTTTGGTGATGATGATTTTGGTGGTGATGGTGATGATGATGATGATGATGATGATGATGTGGAGGAGGAGGAGGAATATCAGGATGAGGAGGCTGATGATGATGATGATGATGATGATGATGGTGATGGTGATTGTGATTGTGACTTTGGTGATGATCATGATCATGATTATGATGATGACCATGATCATGATGATGATGATGATGGTGATGGTGATGGTGATGGTGACGATGATGATGGTGATGATGATGATGATGATGATGATGATGCTGATGATGATGATGGTGGTGGTGATGGTGATGATGATGGTGCTGGTGGTGGTGGTGGTGGTGGTGGTGACGATGTTGGTGATGGTGATGGTGATGGACCTGGTGATGGACCTGGTGATGATGATGATGATGGTGATGATGATGATGATGATGTTGTTGATGATGATGATGACGATGGTGATGATGGTGATGATGATGATGGTGATGGTGATAATGATGAGAAGGAGGAGGAGGAGGAAGAGGAGGATGAGATGATGAGGATGAGGGTGAGGATGAGGATGAGGAGGAGGAGGAGGAGCAGGAGGAGGAGGAGGAGGAGGATGAGGATGAGGATGAGGTGAGGAGGAGGATGAGGAGGAGGATGAGGAGGAGGATGAGGAGGAGGATGAGGAGGATGAGGATGAGGAGGATGAGGAGGATGAGGAGGATGAGGAGGATGATGAGGATGATGAGGATGATGAGGATGATGGGGATGATGAGGATGATGAGGATGATGAGGACGATGAGGATGATGAGGATGATGAGGATGATGAGGATGATGAGGAGGATGAGGATGATGAGGATGAGAATGAATGTTGGGATTGGTTCTGTTTCGGAGGTTTGGGTTGTCTTGGGGCCTCCGGGACTCGTTGGTCCATAAGTCCGTCCCGTGCCACGTTTAGTATGTGCCCGTCGTTCCTTGGTTGCCAGGTGAATGTTCGGCCAGAACAAGTGGAACGCATCGCGCTGGATTTAGGACGCTGGGAAGAGGTCGTTGTGGTCAATGTGTGGCAATTCCATGCAGGTGACAGTGATTCAGCCTGTTTTTCACCTTCTAACACTTCCTGGGGAAGGTGTTCAAAGACGGGCATGAAGAGTTTCTCCTGGAATATCTTGAATATGCCAATTCTATTTATTTATACATTTTGAAAAATTTTGTTCTCACTGATACTTTGTTTTGCTTCATCCTGCTTGGCTACATATATAGATTATATAATCATATATGTAATATATATATATATACACACCCCACGGAAAGAAGGGTCATGTCCAGCTCAAGTTCACTTGGATGATCCTGGCGACTAATAATGATCGAAGCTGCAGTTCAAAGAGTCAGGAGGCATATCAATTCATGACTGGGAGGCATATGCGATGGGTGTAAGATGGTTTAACTTTCTACATGTTACTACTAATGTTCATACTCATCTGCTAGAAAATCACGTAGAAAATATATTTGTTCCTTTGACATATGCTCGCCATGTTGCGCAGATGTTTTTCCAGAACCATTTCCTCCCAAGGACACGCTGTTTGGGCGGAATTCGTGACGCTGGTCCATGAAACGGAGCTTTTCGTGCTGACCCAACGCTGTCGAATGATGGAGAAGCAGTGACCTGACTCCAAACGTTGGGAAGTGACGAGTGGAAATGATGGGGAGGTCCCTCTGAACAAAGTCCAAGTGGAACCCAACAAAAGTGGTAGTGCTGTGGAATCTTGGAAAATTAAATATTATTCCAGGAGTAAATTGCATTCCTTAGTTCCCATGTTGTTTTTGTTCAGCGGTCTAGTTGGATGGTTCATGATGAGTCAGTCACTAGTTTATGATTGATTCCCCGTTCAAGTTGAGGGCCCAACCCTGGGTTGGAGTGTGGTCGCTAGAAATAGGATAGATATGGAATGGTATGGATATTGGATAGTTGACTATAGGAAATGCCAACCTTTGAGTTGCAGAGATTCTGAACTCACACACTGCTGTACCCTGACAGCTGGTTGAGGAGGTGCTTCTAAGGGGTCCTGCGGAGTCTTCACTACCCATGTTCAGAAGCATTCAGAAACCTCTCTTTGCATGTTCCCCGCCCTGGCTGTAAAAATAACTTTGTATCATTCCAAGCACATGGTAGCGGGAAGTCCACACATGTGATGGGCAGATCATCTACAGATGGATAAAACACACATGTTTCAACTGCGCATGATCGATTCTGGGAGGGAAACGATCAGTGCCTGGCTCATCAGCGATGCCAAGCGCATCCAATCGCCTTAGGCGTGCCTGGGAACGAGCCGGGTTCACCTTGGAGCAGGTTAGTTGCTTCGGGGCAGCAGCCCGCGGAAGATTTTGTTTGAAGCAACTTTGGGAGCTCAGGCCCCAACAATCCAAGAAAGAGGGTATACGCAAATACCATTCGCTAAGATTTCAAGTACTTTAGATGACACTTCTAATTATCTACTGTAGCAGTTTAGCATGGCCGATTTTTGAGAGTATCATGAGCATGCCATTGTTGAATACATGTGGATACATCTGGGACAATCCGTGACCAAGTCCTTCCATGATCCCACCTGCCAGGTCTCCAAAGTACAGGAACTCTTTGACCACTTTGTCAGCAAAACCGGTCGAGGCAGGCCCGTCAGACTTGTGGGACGATGCTCTCCGGGCATGTCATGGCATGTCTCATATTGTACATCCACACACACATTCTGTTTGTATACATATATATATATATTTAATATATATATTATTATTATTATTATTATTATTATTTTTTCTTATATATATTTTTATTAGTCTTATATATTATTATTAGTTATTAGTTATATTATTATTATTAATTTTATTATTAGTTATATTATTATCAATTTTATTAGTATATTGATTATTATCATTATTATTATTATTATTCATGTTGCAATGATTTTTGTATTATTATTATCATTATATATATATTATATGTGCATGTGTGTGTACATATATGTATGTATGCGGTTATGTACGTGTGTGTGTGTGAGAGAATGTAATTGTGTATACACAGCAAAGGTATCAAACGTTGTTGACGTCTATGAGAGTCGTGATTGTCATAAATGACCATAATCTCCAATATTGTTTTTTTCCCATGGGAATTCAACAGCCAACCTGCTGCATTGAATGGTTAGGGACTGGCTTTCGACATATTACCGTCGCCCCTAACATCCCAGCTACGATGAGGGGCAGCGTTGCAACCACAAACTATTTGGCAAAGGATATACTAATAGCCCCATTTACATCAACATGTTTGGTTTGCTTTGTAGTATTACTTTAAAAAAAAAAGGTGAACAAGCAATCTGCCATTTGTTTAGAATAGGAATTTGCTAAGTTATTTATTTTTGCACAATTGGAGGGTTATTACGTGATGATTTACTGGTGAAGGAGCCATCCTCGGCACAGGGCTTCGGGCGGAAGAGTTGCTGTACATCGTCCACCAACTGGGCATGACGTCACGTAGCCGATCCGATGAGGCTGGGCCTAGCCAATATCATGGAAGATAACAACTGCATGGCCTAATTCAATCTAATTCATGACTTCGATTGTTGTGATTTGTGTCAAGATGCTGCTAAAAATGGCTACAACGATCATATTAGTACATGTATAGGCACATTTTGTTTTAGATTATTTTTCGTGCTCATGATGAAGGTGTGATGTTTTTGCGGTCAGGCTGACATGGAAGCCACTGCCTACAACGGCAGAGATCGCTCTGAGACCATGTCCCTGGAAGAGTGCTTGCACGCCGCTAGGAGGTGCCATGGATGGAGGTCCTGATGGACCAGCATGGAGGTCCCGATATTCCACAGACACAGTTTTTTTTCAAGTTGTGTTTTTTTTTGCATCAGTGAGACATGCAAAATGGATGGACTTGTTTTTTTAATTTTATAATTTTATCCTATATAAGCCATTCCAAGCGTTGCCAAGATTCCCAGCATTGAATGATGAGAAAATCTGCAGGAAAACCCTATATTTCCTGTAGATTTTCCCTGAATGAACCATCACATCCGCGCAGGTTTCTAGACAAGAAGGAAATGGACGCGCGCTCCAAGGAACTACGAGCTGCAGCCATCGCAGGCATCCCACACGATGAGCTGGATTACTTCCGAGCAGCACAGCTGCAAAGCTCCGAGCTGCACAAAACCAGTAGATATTGGTATCATATGTGGGAAACCCACGAGCAAACCGGGGATTGTTTACACCACCCGTAAAACATGGTGATTTTGGGGATGATGTTTTTTTGCGTTCACCACAATATTTAGAACTGTGACCAAGTTTGTTGACAATGTGGGTACATGACCACCGAGCTTTCCTTGTGGGATAGGCTATGAGGTTTGCAAAAAATGTTTGCGAACTGTTCGTAGGCCGATTTCGATCCCATTCAGCTTGAGGTATGCTATTTAGATCTATTCAGAGGCTTGTCCCACGGATTGTAATTGGTTCAAAGCCATGGCCAGCAAGTTACATACCTGAATTTGTTCTTACGGCAGGTGATGACAAGTTATATATTGAGCAATATGAAGCATATGTGGTCACCAGTTACTGACTTGGATGTTCCTTCAAGTGGCCATTTACCAACCAATAGCAGCCCGCCAGTCTCTCCCTGTGATCCAAGCAGCGCTGAGACCTTTTACAAGCAGTTGATCGCAGAGGATACACAAGGCCACTCAGCTGATGGAAAGCCCCTGTGTTTGGAGGGTACTGTAGATGCTCCATGGTGCTCCTCCTGAATCCTCAATGTAGCGATATGACATGATGAGAAAAAAAAACAGCCATCCACAGGAAACCACAGAGATACATACCTTGCTTACCCCCGCAACCCCCAACTTCAATGTTGTGATCGGAAGTGCCGAGCATCATCAACAGAAATGGCTGTTTTTTTTTTGAAGGCCGCCAGACACAAAATTCAGAAGACACCATTGAATTGGGGGACCGGGGGGACATGACCTCTGTGGTGTGGTACTTCATGGGATGGCTGTTTTTTTTTTGAAGAACCCGTTATGATGGAATAAGAGATGGGATACGTTCTTTTTTTTTTAATGTAATGTCGCATGCAAGTTTGCTTGCATTTATAAGTAATGTATTTTCATCACGCAAAACCACATTTATATGCATATACATTTTTATGTTTACAATATATATATATATATATATATATACGCGTATTTACGACAAGATAAAGCGCATATGAATGCATATGATATGTGTCATGTGTATATAATGCGTATGTTTGCATATATTAGTTCCTGGTTCGGCTTCTTTATGTGTTCGGGGCCATAGGAATAGTGAGACTTATTTATAAAATGCAAGAGCCAAGTTTCGTTCACTCTTGTGTCGCGGCTTGACGTTTGGACTGGGGCCTCTTCTAACTAGCATGGCCCTTGAGACTCCATTTGGGTAAACGTTATATCACGTGTAAAATGTACATTGGGAATGGTGCAAATGATTTATATATTTCTGATTTGAACATGTTGAAGTTTGAATCGTCTGAACATTTCATGGTGCCTGTTGTTTGATGAAACATATCCCCTGGGAGTGACTAACAGTTTGCGAACTGGAAGCCATGGCCCATGTAGCCCGATGATTTACCTACTATTCAGAGGGGGGTTTTCCATAGCTGTTCAATTACCGAGGGTATCAGCCATGGCCCATTCTTGTTGACACCCCAGAGTTTGGATGCATACAGATCCCGTGGGACCCTACGTACCTTTTGTTTGATGATAGATACACATCCCAGCATATCCCGTGATCACATCCCAATCGCAATATATTTTTATATTTATTAATATATATGTATATAATATTCGTACTGTTGGTTAAAAACCATATTCTGGCTAGTTAAATGTCCTTCCATATGTTTCATCATATTTCATTGTATCCCATATATATATATATATACATATAGGTATATATATATATATTTATATATTCCATTTAAAAGGAACATCCAAAAATATCCCATCAACATCGGATAAACTCAGCTCATCCCCGGCATTTTTAGGCAACAAGAAAGACTTTAGTTACTTCGCGCTGTGCCGCGGAGTTCAAGTCATGGGTGCCACCCTGACAGTGGAGAGGAACGCGGAGCTGGAACAGCCGCTTGGCTGCACGAAGCAGCCAAGAAAATCGTGGGAAAACTTTATAGCCTTGGAGAAGCAGCAAAAATGCTGATCTGACCATGAAAGCTGAGACCTCTTCGCTGGATAGCTGGGATTTGACCATCAAACACGGTGGTTTAAACATAAATATATGATTGATTAACAGGGATTTAACCATTGAGAAAGGGTGGTGTTCACCGTCAAACATGGATAAAGTACACGGATTTGAAAAGCAGCCAAGCGGAGATTTAACAAATTGATAATGTATATATATATAGGTTTATACAACAATGTGGGTTAGATTCAGAAACTATTGTGAATATGAGAGGAGAAAAACTATGATCAACAATCGGAATTTTGAAGGTCCTTATTGTCAGACAAACCAGAATAAGACGCTTTGGTGGATCATGCCAGCTAGTCTTTTCAATAATGATGTAAATTACATATATGTTTATCACCCAAAACTTTGTTGTTTTCAAGCTGCATATTGATGGAGGAAGTCAGATCGAATGGATTCTGGGGTTCCATTCTGAATGATAAGGAGCCAAATATTGCTGCAGACTCATGCGCATTTTATGCACATTTAGTTGGTACATAAATGTATGGTTTCGGGTCTTAGTTGTCGGTAGTGTCCGCATGGACTGTATTTGGGTAGCAAGAAAATGGCCCTATCATATCTTACGTCTTGTGACTAGTTCGTGGCTTTTGGGGGAAGGCGAGGCTGTTAATTCTGTATCTATAACTGGAGTGATGCGTATTTCACACAACTGAGCAAATGCAGAGAGGGTCACCGAAGGACAATGAACATATAGTTTTGGGATCGAGCCGTGAAAACATCAAATGTGATTTCTGAAATTATTTCTCTTCTATAGACTCCACTTAGCGTGCAATGGTTTCAGAGGCCTCAGCATTGTGCATTTAGCGTCTATCCAATTCATATTACATCCGCATTGTCATGTGGATGAGTACTTGCTCGAAATGGAAAATAGGTCGCTTCAATAGGATTTTGGAATCGGTTCAACCAGTGCCACAAGTCGGTTCTTTGTGAGATCTGCGCTGATGTGTTAAAGCTCTTGTTTCAGTGACTCTGTGGCAATCTTACCTAGCAACAGAACATCACTATTTCGTACTATTTCATACTATTTCCAATAGGTATATGAACAAATAATAACAAATAGATCATCTACATTGTGTTGAAAGTTCCATGGCCATGTTTGATGAGGGCACATGTTTCATCAGCGCCCGAGCCTGAGGATGTTCAAGGAGCACGCTGTATCTTCGGGTTCATCACAGTTGCTTCATTTGCCCTTCCCAAAGCTCCTTGGCGGGAAGACTTCACCAAGACTGCGGAAAATCAATCCCAGACTTGGAGTTTCTGGAACAATGGATGACTGAAACCTGCATATTTCTTCCGATCAATTCCTGGTATCCAGTAGATTTTCCTTAGACCCAGTGATTTGTCAGGTTTATCGTGATGATTGGGTCGCTCTTCAAGGCGGACTTCGCCAACTTGAGGTGCTGCGGATCCCGACATGGCCTGTTTGTTCATGTTCCACTGGGTGTTCTTGATGGGTGTGCCAGGGTCGAAGATCTCAATGGGGAAAGATTTGAAAGTGGGAACTTGAATTGTTTGAAGAATTTCCCGGTTCCCTGTGATTCTCTTTCCAAGATCCCTTTGAAAGGGCAATCTTCAACCTTTTTCCCTTTCAAAGTGGACTGTTCCGTACAGGACGCAGTCAGCTCGCAAAGATGAGGCGCACTGGGAGGTAATTTAAGTCATTTAAGTCACTGAGTGGGTCAGTCTCAGGTAATCAAACATGGCAGCGTGTTTTCTGCCATTTTTGACTTGGCAAGTGGAAAGTTTTGCTTCTGTGGATCAGGTGTAACTAGTCCAATTCTATGCTCTATCTCCTCCACAATGGGTCTGGGCACGGGGGTCGCATTTGCCCCTATGTGGGATCGCACTTGCCCCTACTCAAGGCTGTGGATGCTACGTTGTAACATCCATTTCAAGCAACTCCAAGGCGCTCTGGATCCTACACTGTAACATCCATTTGAAGTCAGTTCCAAGACGCTCTGGATGCTACGTTGTAACATCCACTTGAAGTTTCTTCCAAGACGCTCCGGATGTTATGTTGTAACATCCATTTCAATCAACTTCCCAGACGCTCTGGATGCTACGTTGTAACACCCATTTCAAGCAACTCCAAGGCGCTCTGGATCCTACACTGTCACATCCATTCGAATTGAAGTCAGTTCCAAGACGCTCTGGATGCTACGTTGTAACATCCATTTGAAGTCAGTTCCAAGACGCTCTGGATGCTACGTTGTAACATCCACTTGAAGTTTCTTCCAAGACGCTCCGGATGTTATGTTGTAACATCCATTTCAATCAACTTCCAAGACGCTCTGGATGCTACGTTGTAACACCCATTTCAAGCAACTCCAAGACGCTCCGGATGTTATATTGTAACATCCATTTCAATCAACTTCCCAGACGCTCTGGATGCTACGTTGTAACATCCATTTGAAGTCAGTTCCAAGACGCTCTGGATGCTACGTTGTAACATCCACTTGAAGTTTCTTCCAAGACGCTCCGGACGTTATGTTGTAACATCCATTTCAATCAACTTCCAAGACGCTCTGGATGCTACGTTGTAACATCCATTTGAAGTCAGTTCCAAGACGCTCTGGATGCTCATCCACGCTCTGGATGCTACGTTGTAACATCCATTTCAATCAACTTCCCAGACGCTCTGGATGCTACGTTGTAACACCCATTTCAAGCAACTCCAATTTGAAGTCAGTTCCAAGTCGCTCTGGATGCTATGTTGTAACATCCATTTGAAGTCAGTTCCAAGACGTTCTGGATGCTAGGTTGTAACATCCAGTTGAAGTTTCTTCCAAGACGCTCCAGATGTTATGTTGTAACATCCATTTCAATCAACTTCCAAGACGCTCTGGATGCTACGTTGTAACATCCAGTTGAAGTTTCTTCCAAGACGCTCCAGATGTTATGTTGTAACATCCATTTCAATCAACTTCCAAGACGCTCTGGATGCTACGTTGTGACATCCATTTGAAGTCAGTTCCAAGACGCTCTGGATGCTACGTTGTAACATCCAGTTGAAGTTTCTTCCAAGACGCTCCAGATGTTATGTTGTAACATCCATTTCAATCAACTTCCAAGACGCTCTGGATGCTACGTTGTAACACCCATTTCAAGCAACTCCAAGACGCTCTGGATGCTATGTTGTAACATCCATTTGAAGTCAGTTCCAAGACGCTCTGGATGCTACGTTGTAACATCCACTTGAAGTTTCTTCCAAGACGCTCCGGATGTTATGTTGTAACATCCATTTCAATCAACTTCCCAGACGCTCTGGATGCTACGTTGTAACATCCATTTCAATCAACTTCCAAGACGCTCGGATGCTACGTTGTAACATCCATTTCAATCAACTTCCAAGACGCTCTGGATGCTACGGTTTAATTAACCACTTGTGAGAGTTTTTCCAAGATCGCTCCGGATGTTATGTTTGAACATCCAATTTCAATCAACGCCCAGACGCTCTGGATGCTACGTTGTAAACAATCCCTTCCATCAACCTTCCCCAGACGCTGGATGATTACGTTTGTTGTAAAATCCATTTTCAAATTCAACTTCCAAGACGTCTGGATGCTAAGTTGTACATCATCCAGTTGAAGTTTCTTCCAAGACGCTCCAGATGTTATGTTGTAACATCCATTTCAATCAACTTCCAAGACGCTCTGGATGCTACGTTGTAACACCCATTTCAAGCAACTCCAAGACGCTCTGGATGCTATGTTGTAACATCCATTTGAAGTCAGTTCCAAGACGCTCTGGATGCTACGTTGTAACATCCACTTGAAGTTTCTTCCAAGACGCTCCGGATGTTATGTTGTAACATCCATTTCAATCAACTTCCCAGACGCTCTGGATGCTACGTTGTAACATCCATTTCAATCAACTTCCAAGACGCTCGGATGCTACGTTGTAACACCCATTTCAAGCAACTCCAAGACGCTCTGGATGCTATGTTGTAACATCCACTTGAAGCAACTTCCAAGACGCGCTGGATGCTATGTTGTAACATCCATTTCTGGATGTGTTTGATACCCAGTGTGGTAACGTGTGGTAACTAAGATGTAATGTAATGCACAAGTGTAAAAAGGAAAGTGACCCCGTGACCCCCTAACCAATGTCCCCAAGTCCACCCTAAATGTCCCTTGTCCCGCGGTCAAACCCTAAAAGGTTGAATGACTTATTCAATGGAAAGGCAAGTGACCTAACCAATGTCCCCAAGTCCCCCCTAAATGTCCCTTGTCCCCAGTTCAAACCCTAAAAGGTTGAATGACTTATTCAATAGAAAGGATTGTGAGGTAGGGGCGTATGGGACCCTAGTTGGGGTAGGGGCGAATCTGACCCTGGGGTAGGGGCGATTGTGACCCCCGTCCCATGGGTATGCTTTTGAACTTAAACTTTGCAATGACAAACTTCCCATCCATGCGCAAGCATATTTCAGACAATAGAAGTGTGTAGATGACGTTCCTGCTGAAAATAGTGGGGAGTATGCACCGTCACCATCCTCAAGATTGAGCCAGATTTACGTTTTGAAAAAATGGCAGATCGATCGTTATTCTAATCACACACAGTCACACATAAATATGTGATGCTATTATACTATACATAATATATATATATATATGACCCATCATATCCGGTTCCCCATGTCCACTAGTCTGAACCACCCATATGATGATTTTGACGGCAATTTTGATTCATTTTTGCGTGACGCACATTGCATATCTATCCTCATGTTTGATGGTTGAATCAAACCAAATCTTTGGTAATTTAACGTAGCTATGGGAACTCACCACTGTTAATATGTGTTCATCGGTAAATCACCGAACTATATAAATGGGCGATGGCTTCCAGTTCGCAAACTGTTTAGTCATTGCCAGAGGCTAAACCACGACTTTTATCAAGTTTCATTGCTTAAATTGCTGAAATTAATCCAACGCAAGCTTAAATCAATTTAAATCGGTGAGATTGGGTCATTTCCACACATATCCCCATTTTGATAATGTTTGTTGGTTAAATCATGATTCAACACCTTTAAAAAAAATGTCATGGTAAATTAACGTCCCCTTTTTTCGTAAAAAAAACAGGTCAAACATTCCACCTGTCCCACTTGTGCGATCAATTCCAGGAGCTGCCGCGTGCCGTGCCCAGTAAGGTGAAAGCCATCAGTACCACCAGCGCCTTGGAAGCGAAGGTGGTCAGGGTTATAGCTTAATGTGGGTATGGGATTATAAGGCTATAAGGGTTTATATGGGGGTGCCATAAATGGAGGTACCCCCATAGCTGGACGGTTTATAATGGAAAACCCTATCAAAATGGATGGTCTAATAGGCTTAATGTGGCTTCTATAATGTGGGTAAAACCATGCCATAAACCACCCATGACTGGGAATGCTCAACATACCACCTGCAAAAAAGGTGATTGGGGATGTTTTATTATTGTTTTACCCACATTATTGGGGTATGGGATTATAGCGGTTTAATTATATGTATTTATACTGATGTTTCATATTATTTATAGATAGGATTAATCACCCTCCGGAAAATTCACAGTTTGACCCTGAAAACCACCAATGTTTAGTGGAAACGAATCTTCCAACCCCTCTTTGGCAGGGTCTATGTTTTTACTAGAGGGCAATGGGGTTATTGGGGAAATGATTCTGGGGTTATACTACCCGGCTTATTACTATACAGTCATATATGGTAATATGCCCCTTCACTGGTTGGGAAGTTATATAATTATGACCTGGATTCTGACGTATGTTCCACCATGGGTCCAGTCATTGATTTCCTTAGTGCAATTAAAAAGGATGGTTTGATAAAGTTGACAATATTGAACGGCTACTATCACAGATGGCTGGTGCTTTGGAAACGTTTTTGGTTATTTTCCATCCTTCAAATGAGGGATAAGTTGATATCATCACCCACAGACACCCACAGGAAGTCCCTTGTTAATTTTTGATATGATTTATTCTCAACGCAAATTCTTACTGCAACATCATAAGCCACGAGATTTGGCGAGGCCGTTGTGGGTGCATTGGACATGTTTGGGTACCTGCAGGTGATTTCAAAAACATGTTGTTTTCCATCCCTACTGTACCTGGGATGAAGCCGCGTATTTTGTGTATTAGATATAGAGAGGGAGAGAGAGTTGCAATGGGGGTGCCCTCCAAGTATAAGTTGGTGTATAAACCATTTCATAACCCTGCATATAATTATAAGTATATATCATAGACCATGATTGTTGGATTTTTTTGGAGTTGTAAACCATCTTAGCTATCGTTTGGGGGTCCCACTTTGTGAGATGTGTGGGTCCACAGCCTGTGATTCTTGGTTATGCTGGGTTGATCGCCTGATGTTTTCTTCCCATTGTGTCCAGAATGATATAGAGCACATAGTTGTGCTTTCAGTATATGTTCACATCCTATATGTTTTTGGCGCGGTTACATCATATGCCCACATTTGGTTGGTTCAAACACCATGAAAGCCTGTCTCCTGATGTTTGCTACGTATCCAGAGAAGCACTTCCCCCACCACCTCACCAAACTCAGGCAAGTTCATGAGGCGTTCGCGCTTCGCACGATGAATCCAGTGTTAGAATCGTCTCGTGGCCAGTTCGTTTCGGCAAAATATGGCAAGGACAGGCTAGAAATGGTAGGTTCGTAGATGCAATTTTTGGGGATGCCAGAGGATTGTCACAACTCATAAGTGTGGGGATAGCTTCAAGTTGGTACAATAAATCCCTTTGTGAGCATTGTGACATTCCATGACACTTGTCAGAGTTGTCAGCAACAGGACATCCAGCTACTGTTGCTGCCAGACTACCTGACAGATGGAGATGCCAGCATTGCAACAGGATATTCGGTTTCTAGCCGGGCTTCAACACTCACTTCCACCCATTGGTGCAAAAGAACAACATGGAACCGAATGACACCCCAAGGAGCCACATCATGGACACAATGCTTGATTGGTTGATCTCCTTCCAATGACCATACCATGGTTCACATCCCCATGTCTTGAACCTTTACAGTCCCAAATGTAGAGTTCAGTCTGTATACTGTAATCTGTTTGTATGGCATGGAATCGCACCTTTGTGCCTTGAAGTGGACAGTCCTTCTTGTGCCCTCAAGGGGCATGGGACGACTTTTAAGATTATGTGGTGTGAACCGCGATGGGCAGGAGGAAGTTGGATTTGGAACACTTTTGCCACCGCAAAACTTGGAATGGACACCTCTAAAGCCAGAGATGTTTGTAAATTCTTACGGTCATCAATCTAGAGCGCCTATGTCATCAATGTTTCTGAATTCGAACTCATACAGGCATAAAGTATCATGAAGTCATAAAGATCTCTCAGATTCTTGACCCTAAAGCCTCCTTGTCCAATCTCGGTTGGTCTTGACACATGGCACATTTTGAAAGCCGGCGCTGAAAGCTTTCGGGAGCGGACCAGCTTTGACCCAAACGGGTCCGGGTCGCAGGCGTCGACCGTGACGGCGTGCGGTCCAAAAAAGGGGCCGGAGGGAATGGAGTCCGGAAGTGCTGCTTAGATACGCTAGTTACAAAGTGGGTATGGACAATAATACTATATAATATATATATATCTATTTATAAGCACAAATACATTTCAAAACATCTGAAAGTAATCAGAGATATGTTGGATGTGAGATATACCGATACAGTCCATAGGCATCCACGATATCACCTCCAATCAGCCATTGGATCCAGCCCCTTCCTGGGGCGCCCATGGCAGGTGTCGGCCTATCGGATGCCTTTGCGGCGTCCCAATGGACCCCCAGGACCTGGCATGAAAATCATGAAACACTGGGACTATGGGATCATCAATGGCTGGTGCTTTATAGGGAATGGATGGGTTGCTGGTGGTTGCTGGGATGATTATTGATAGTTAATTATTGTGGATCATTCCCGAAAATTCCCTCTTTTTTTGTGACTTTCCATATTTATAGATGGTTTACCTATTATCAATATGGTGATTTCCCAAAATGGTGATTTCCCATAGCTATGTTAGTAAGTCATAACCAGATGGTATATATGTATATGTACCATATATTGGGAATGTCATAATCCCAACTCACTAACTCATATTTTTCAGAGGGGTAGGTTGGAACCACCAACCAGATGATCATGATGGAATATCATTATGGGATGTTGATATCGTTCCTTATCATGGAATATTATTCTATCATCCCTAATGGGATTATGATTGTCATGGGATATTATCATGGAGATTTTACGAACTGGATTTCTGGATTCTGGAATTCTTAGCCACAGTAGGTTCATGGGCGCAATGATTTGGGCGTGAAAATGCGAGGGAATTAGCCCCAGTTAGGGCCCCATTTTCGTGGGGATTACTGGAGCCTGCAATGGATTTAGTCGTACCCAATCTTCAGACAAACCCATTTGAAGCATTGTGAAACATGTTGATCGAGTTTTTCACACCTGAAACCGAAATCCAATCATGACACCTGAAAAAAGATTGCTTGCAGGAGGGAAAAACGGTGAATTTTTGGTGAAATTGCATTTTTTGTTGGTTACACCCTTAGATGTACCAACTGCAAACACGTTTCAGTAGCATCCACTTGAACCCAACAGTTCTGCCCTACGAGTTTCAGGAAGTAGCCATGGCTCCAGACCCCTGGGTTCCTTAGGCTGCAGCGAGCGAGAGCGGTTGCATCCTGAAGCCCAGGAGCTACGAAGTGAGTCCCCATAAGAATATCATGGACGTCCATGTTTTCTTGGTGAGCAATATGCATTTAATACTACCCACATGAGAAAAACGTTCCATGAATTCCCGGGTGTTATGGATATGCAATCTGAAAATTCAGTGAGTGAATTGAAATAGAAGGCTTCACTTTGGCTAGCTCAGGGCTTGACATTGAGACCAATAAGACTGGTTTGGTGGCTTCAGTTTTTTCTTTTTGTGAATGTTCCATCCGTTTAAACAGAAGACACTAAATTGTGATTATCATGATGTTGACGTTGATGTTGATATGATGACGTTGTTGTTGTGGATGATGGTGCTGATGATGATGCTGCTATTGATGATGATGATGCTGATGATGATTCAGGTTTCGTTCTTTTCGTTCCGAGCCCCACCTCACATGACAACAAAGGCAAGGTACTTGACCATGCTGTGAACTGAGGTTTGGCGGGGCACCAAGGAGATATTCTCTCCATGTGTCCAGCCCTGAGTTTCAGCGCAGATACTTGGATTATTTGGTTGAAGTAATTATATAATGGAACAAAAATGGTGAGCAACTGGACCCTCAATGACACAATGAAGGGTTTTCACTGATTTCCCCATGAAGATTGGGATGCATCAAGGGACGTAAGCCAGTCCATAACCATCCACAAACTTCCAAGGGCTTTCAGGGTTCGCAGTTAAGGGCTGACAGTCATCGCCTGCATTCTTTTAGACAGGTCATGACGGTCATGTTGCAAGTGAACATGTAAGAGTTTTGTGCATGCTACTGAATATAAAACATGTTTCATAGTTTCATATGCATGTTATATCAATGCATATTTCTATCACTGCATAGATTTGGGTTTCTCATTGAAAGTTCGTGTGCCATTCGTTGTCCTGCACATTTGTTGATGTGAACATGTCAGGCCCATCCTACACAGAATCGCACTCCACTGGTGGTGGTGGCGGGCCTTTGCTTCTTACGGCAGGTTGGAGCACCATCTCGCACCACCAACATGTCGCAAGGAAACCAGCGTGAAACACCAAGTGGGTAGAATGCCATACCCTGGAAACCCAGGATAGGTTTGGCCTGGTCTATTGGATCCAACACCCCGGGTCCCAGTTTTGGCCCCTGGAAATCCAAATTCCTTTGATCCCTCCCTTTATCATCGTTATATTGAAAACATAGATTAAATCGGATCTAATTCATCTATACGGGGGTCCAGAGAAAGAGGAAATTCATGTATAGTATAAATCCGGGAGAAGGGATTACATGGGATTTCCAAGAATTACTCATGTTTGTTGCATTTTTATTCAGCCCCGTGGCCCGTGCCTTGTCCTCCTGGTTGTTGTTTTTTTTCAGGCGACGACCGCACCGCCCGTCTTTGGGCCTTGGCTGGGTGTGAGCCTCGGTGGATCCATCCACTGATCTCCGCCTACTTATCCCATTGATGACTGGGGTGAACTAAGCCACTTTCTAAGTGGGATGAGCCACCAGTGGTGATCACCGTCCTTTCACCGCAGCCATTTCCTCCCACGTGGTTGATGTGAGTGGATGATATGGAGCTTATTACCCTCGGATAATTTAACTGCTATTGAACATCACCATGTTCAATAGCTAGATCAGCTATACATATATATATATATATGTATACACGTATGTATCACCATTTTCCATCGCTATGTTAGTTTACCAAAGGGCAGCTCCTGAAAGATAACGTACTTACTGTACGCAGATGAGGTCAGGCTTAGTGCAGCAGACTCCGTTTGTGTTGAGGCCGCACGCGGGGTCCGAGTTGATTCGCTTCGATCGCTTGAAGGGCAGCCGCCAGGTGGTTTGCTCCAGTTTCGGGGAAGGACCTAACACCCAGGTATGACTGGCTAAAATGACCACACAGTAAGATACATGAATTTAGTGGTGCCTTTGGATGACTCCTGTCAGCTCTCTTGATGTGAATTCAGAGTTTTTGATTTTTGAGATGTCTTACAGTCATCCCTATGGTAAACATTTCACAGCATTTCCATAGCTATTGTTTCTTTGGTCTTGGCACTGCAGTATGCTGGGTGGCAGATTCTTGAGATCAATGTCCTTTTGATGTGAATTACCGTCATCAAATATTGGCTGTAGCGATTTGTATCAGATGAGCGCTTGGTTTTCCCACGAAGACCACATGTGGTGTTTGGCTGCTTATTATGTGTTTCTTTTGCTGTTGTTCTGGTTGTTCATTGTTTGTGGTGCTTGGTTGTTCTGTTTGTACTGCAGCACATGTGCTTTGCCTATAGGTTGCCACAGGCTGTCCACTTGTGCGAGAGTCGTTATCCGCCTGGAAGGTCGTCGTTGAACAGGGGGATATGAAGTTTAGGACTCCCCTTGGTCTGATGGGTAAAGATGGGTAAAGGTGGGTAAAGCATGGTAAAGCACCTCTTAAAAAACATGGTTCCCGGTGTTCTTTTTTGCGTTTGATCCCTCTATTGGTAGACCCTGTCGCTGACCACACCAATCCAGTGGTTGGATCCCATCTTGGGTCACCACATGGATGGGATCGCACTCCATAGCTGTGGCAGCTATGGAATATCACCATTTTCAATAGGTAAAATCGTCAAATCATCTATCAATGAGTAAGTCAAGCGTCACATGGATGGTTGCCACCTCTCTTTCCACACCAGGCATCAGGGGAGGAGAACCCCCTCTTTGAGCAGGTGCAGGACTGCTTAGAGTGTCACGGTGAGCTGAGCTGATCGGTTGACCTTGGGGGAACCATGAAAATCATAGGGATTGGTCATGATTGGTCCATAAACCATCAACAACTTGAGGCTTTGCCCGAAATACGTGGTGATGGCCAGCAACCCAAACACAAACTGTGCTGGCTGCTTTTGAACGGAGCCCCGATCCTCGGGCCCTCACCACCATCGTGGTGGAATTTCCCAGCTGTGCATCCTGTCGGTGGAATTCCGCTAGCTCTGCCCTTATAGGGCTCGAGCTTGCGACCTCCAGCTCTGTTTGTCTCCTGTAATTTGTATTTATATAAGTGTTTTCCCTTTCCAATCTGGAATGATTAAAAGAGTGATCAAGTAAGCTGTATCATGAAATTCCCACCATTCGAAGAGGGTGGAAAGTTGAATTTGAATAAAATTGAAAACAATTTTAAACATGTTTAGAAGCATTCCCACATCGTGTCACCACAGCGGTTCGCACCATGCATGGCACCACCGCACCCCAGGACGCCCAATTTCTATGCCTCGATGGTGCAGTGGCGCTGGCAACCACCACGCGCTTGGCGGTGTATCGCTTTCAACTGCACCTGCAGGCGCTGCAGACCGGGTTAAAGTAGAGATTCCAAGGATATGGAGTTTCATACAATGGGGGTACCCCAAAAACTGGATGGTTTATAAATGTCAATGGAAAATCCTGTGAAATGGATGATTTAGGGTTCCCTCCATTTTGGGAACCCCCCATACAATCATATAAAGTCACATAAAAGATCAGCTTCAGATGGCCCTGCAATTGTTGCTGAAGAATGTCGTTGCAAGTGTCGATCGCCTGAATTTCTCCGTGAAAGTTGATGCGTTTACTGAGGTGATCTTTGGGTAGAATTGGGTCAGGCAGGCCCAGCCCATGCCCAGAATAGCTGCCAGAGATTATTAGCCATCCATTCCCCAGCTAGATAGGGTCGATGGAGTGTCCCTTCGATGATGTCCCATCCCATTATATAGAACTCCTGGCCAAGGAAACAGTCAAAGATGGATCGGGTTTATCATTCTTCGTAGTGATCAGTGATCTATCCAATTCTGGAGTTCAATATTTCGGGAATTCCGCCATGTCAGCCAGTATTTTCCCACTTAGGGGGTTGGTTTCCGAAGTCATGTGCCCCTAAATCATCCTAAATCATCATTTTTTTTGATTTTCATCCTGCTATTGGGGTACCCTCATTTGTGAAACCCCCCAATAGGTATCCACCCTTAGCTCCACGTCAGCCCCTGCGAGGATACCTCGGATGACATCAAGCGCCTACAGAGGCCGGGTTTATGGCACATATATCCATACAGATGAGGTTGTAAACTGCATATGGATATATAATAATATATATATATATATATATATGTGTGTGGCGTGTATATATATATATATTTATGTGGGGGGGCACCACCTTTTATATACTGTATATAGTTGTGTAAATTGAAGATCCATGAATGGCCCTGACCCTGCTGTGCTTTGCATAGCTGCTGAGCATTTGAATATTTGATATGTGTTTCATATAAGTACGGTTGCCCTCATGTAATCAGAATAATTTAGACAAATGCCACGCCAGATGATTTTCTCTTGTCATGATTGGCTACCAATCCCTCCTTCCTATTCTATTGTGGTACTTCCGTAGCTGCCCGGCAAGCATGCTGTCAGATGATCTCCATAAAGTGGGGGCTTGGAACAGGCCAACATGTCTGTGAGTCATGTGGCTGATCCATTCCCAAATAGGTTCCCCTTTCTTTCTGGCGCATACTCTGGCACCCAGTTTGATTGGTGGCATGCAAGCTAAACTAGGTAGACATATATGTATATAAATATATATATATATATATGTGTGTGTGTGTGTGCGCGTGTATTGGACTCCAGCCCAAAAGCTACCAAGGCGCCCCTGGGCCATAGCCAGGTTGGGCTCCTACAAATGCTGCGGACTCTTGGCCCTGCCCAAAGAACCCACGGCCGGGCAAAGTCTGGTAGCAATAGCAGCCAACAATGTGGGGCGGCCTACCATGGATGGGCTGGAAAACTCGAAGTACAGTACTCAATCTATTCCCATCACATGATCAGTACCATCTGGCTCCTGTGCGACATCCTATCGATATTCCATTTTGTTTGGTGATATGGTTTTGGGGACATGATTCAGAAAGACACCTCAATTTAATTGGACGTGATCTTCCTACCAAAAATGAAACGGTGAAACTATAACCATCCATAACCCTTATTAACTACATTCAGCTACAATTTGCCCGGACAATGGGCACATTGTAGACAGACAGATAGATAGAAAGATAGATAGATAGATAGATATTTAATAGCTACATGTATACATACATACATATATATATATATATATATGTATGTATATATATATATATTATATATATGTAATTTATATGTATTATATATATATGTATTATATATATATATATGTATGCTCCATTATATATCATTGCACTATATGCACTGTGTAGAGATGAATCTGTGTTTGTGTGCACATGCTTGTTTATGCCTGCGGACCGAAAACCGTGCTCGTAAAACGCACGTTTCTGAAAAACGCAATTTCGGAGGTTAGGTTGGGGTGGGGTGGGGGGGCATGTCAACGTTCCTTGTACTTCGTACATTAGATTATAGTTTTTGCCGCGCTGCAGAGATCTCTGGGATCGTTGCTACGTTACTTGTTACTACGCTGCAGAGATCTCTGGTGTTGTTGTTGCTACGTGACATGATTCTGCGCTGCTGATGGGGTGGGGTGGGGTGGGGGGGCATGTCAACGTTCCTTGTACTTCGTACATTATAGTTTGCTACGCTGCAGGGATCGTTGCTACGTTACTTGTTACTACGCTGCAGAGATCCCTTGATGGTGTATGCTAGAGCTTGGCAATGGAGATGCATTCACAAGATTGCTGACTGCCAGCTGAAAACGGTGCATGCGTTGCAGCGATGACGGTGAAAAGGCAAAAAACGCGCCTCAGATTTTGCAAGGTTTCCAACATCCTTTTTGGACAACATGTGCACACCGATGAGCACGGTTTCCGGTCCGGCGGGTTGTTTATGTGTGGCTTTTGATCAAGCTTCGCAGCTCGATGGGCACAGGGCGACACCGCGATGGGATGGGGACTGCAGGACGGAAATGATTGAAATGATCATGTCCAGTCAACAAAATAAGCACCCACTTTCGGGTTCAATATGGTTCAATAATTTTGAGACGTACCCAAATAGAACTGGTGAATAACAAAACCAATAAACATCACATTGACATTAGCATCAAGTCCATTAGCATCAAACCTGCACATCATTTCCTGCCTGCCGGACGATCTCCACCTCCACTATCTCCACGCTATGTTGGGCTTAAGACCCGGCACCCTGGCAGCTGGAATGACTGTGACGGAGGCCCACGGTATGGATTTGCATGGCATTTGCCACTCGTCGCTGGGTCTGCGGAGTTCGCTCCCGTAGATGGGTCTGATGCTCACAGGGTTTTGTCCCACAGCCGAAGTGGGTCTATTTTTTTCAGCTACACAGGGAGCAACAAGAACGCAAAGGAACAACTAACAGTAGCCAGTACTTGTTAGCCATGTTTTCTCCACACTGTATGCGGTTTGGGCAGGACCCAACGGTCCGGGCATGTGCCATTCTTGAAAATCACAGTTGTGACAGTTGCTCTCTTCTCACCGACGGGCAAGGCCCTGATGGTTGGATGTTGGTCATGCTTCTACAGAACTCTAGACATCCAACTTTGGAAGCGTCCAAGTTTAACCAATGCCCATGATGTGTTAATCTCAATACGAGACAACTTTTGTGAATGTCCTTTCACCGCATAAGACCTGACCAAATATGCAGGTCAACTGGGATGAAATGTGAAAAACACATGTTGTATGTACCGGGTCTGTTCTTGTCATTCATCCTGATGTTGATGAAAGCTCTGTTGAACAGTGTCCACTGTGTTTTTGGCTATTGTTTTTGTGAATCCATATGTTTTGTTTCTACAATACATGTTTTACACGTGTTTACTCACGCTTCTGATCTTGTTGATGGATCTTGAGGCCTTAATGGTCACAGTGCTATGACTATGTGTATCTATGTGTCATATGGTCCCAAAGTTGTGGGGTTCTTGTTTTTGATTCTGTATCCCGGGTCGCCTCCTCCCCGCCTCCTCCTCCCGCCTCCTCCTCCTCCACACACTCAAACACACACAACTTTGTCACATACCATCTCTTACACACACAAACTTAACACACAACTTTGTCACATACCATCTTTCACATACAAAATTTCACATACATAAACTTAACATACAACTTTGTCACATACCATCTTTCCATAAGTTCACATACACAAACTTAACACACAACTTTGTCACATACCATCTTTCACATACACGAACTTAACACATAACTTTGTCACATACCATCTGTCACATACATAACACAACTCACATCTACCATCGTTTTGCGGCACTTTGCGTGGCAGGCGTGGCGCAATCTCACATCCACGTTCGTTTTGCGTGGCACGCGTCGCACAAACTCACATCTACCATCGTTTTGCGTGGCAGGCGTGGCACTCATGGCACTGGGTCGCCCGTGACGTCGCGGCACTTTGCGTGGCAGGCGCGGCACAATCTCACATGCACGTTCGTTTTGCGTGGCAGGCGTGGCACAAACTCACATCTACCATCGTTTTGCGTGGCAGGCGTGGCACTGATGGCACTGGGTGGCGCGCTTGGTCTGATTTGGTCGCCCGTGACGCCGCGGCACTTTGCGTGGCAGGCGTGGCACAAACTCACATCTACGTCGTTTTGCTTGGCAGGCGTGGCACAAACTCACATCTACCATCGTTTTGCGTTGGTTTTGGTCGCCCGTGACGTCGCGGCACTTTGCGTGGCAGGCGTGGCACAATCTCACATCACGTTCGTTTTGCGTGGCAGGCGTGGCACAAACTCACATCTACCATCGTTTTGCGTGGCAGGCGTGGCACTGATGGCACTGGGTGGCGCGCTTGGTCTTGGCTTGGTCGCCCGTGACGCCGTGGCACTTTGCGTGGCAGGCGTGGCACATTCTCACATCCACGTTTGTTTTGCGTGGCAGGCATGGCACAAACTCACATCTACCATCGTTTTGCGTTGGTTTGGTCCCCCGTGACGCCGCGGCACTTTGCGTGGCAGGCGTGGCACAATCTCACATCCACGTTGGTTTTGCGTGGCAGGCGTGGCACAAACTCACATCTACCATCGTTTTGCGTGGCAGGCGTGGCACTGATGGCACTGGGTGGCGCGCTTGGTCTTGGTTTAGTCGCCCGTGACGCCGTGGCACTTTGCGTGGCAGGCGTGGCACAATCTCACATCCACGTTCGTTTTCCGTGGCAGGCGTGGCACAAACTGACATCTACCATCGTTTTGCGGGGCAGGTGTGGGACAATCTCACATCCACCTTCGTTTTGCGTGGCAGGCGTGGCATTCATGGCACTGTGTCGATCAAGCGCTTGGGACGGTTTAGTCGTTTCACGTGGCAGGCGTGGTGCAATCTCACAGCTCACACACCATCTTTCACAAAACTTTGTCGCATACCATCTTTCACACACACAACTTTGTCACGCACCATCTTTCCCACACAACTCTGTCACACACAACTTTGTCACACACAACTCCACTACAACCACAGCTACAACTAGTCAGTCAAGTTAGATTGGTCATTTGCATTCAAAGATGCAGTCATCGGATCATCTATTGCTGCTCTGGTCGTTTTGGCCCGAAACTCTTTGCCGGCACGTTTGCCTCGCTGCGTCTCCGACATGTTTTCTGTTCCGAGCTGTTTCTTTCATAGGCTTGTGTTAACTTGCCACTTTCACATGCCACTTTGTCACACACAACTGTTTTAACTTCTCGATCCTTCACCACCTCCTTTGTTTTTCCTTCCTTCCCCGTCCCCGCTACAACCTTTGAAGCTCATTATTGGAAGAAGTTGACCTGTGGGGTTATCCGGTCCTTTAATTGTTATACACTGTATGTATATATATATATATTTACACGATTAAGTGCTGATGGATCTCCATACGTGCCATGGTGAACACATGCGTTGTTTTGCCACATTGGGGGATGGTCATCAATCCATTCAAAGGGATTTATATACCTAAATTACCCGGATTCCCAATATGGGATGGATGGCCGTAAACTATATACATATATACCTCTATATGATAATATATATTTATATAGATATATATATATATATACATATATATATATATATACATATATATATATACATATATATATATATATGTATACCGTTGCATGCCATCTTTTGACCATGGCACATATGTAGGTTTTCTGCTCGAAAACCTCGTCCATGAGAATTTGAGCAGCTCTGAGGCGAGTACTGTGGGGAGCTCAAGCCCTTGGAAGAGGTGGGACGCTGCGAGACCCCGGAAGTGGAGGAACCCACCCACTGCTTCTTGGCGGGGTAACAGCCACATGTGGGATATGTGTGTATATATATATATAATTAGATACTTTGTTGGTGCATATGCCTAGTAATACAATTGTATTATATACAGATTATATAATTTATATTTTGATATATATATATATACACATTTATATATGTACTTTTATGCATATGCATTGCATATTGCATGTATACATCCCTGCCATACATGCATACATAGATGTAATACATATATATATATATATATTATAGTACATTAAAATACATGCATATACACGTATAATTTGAACATAAACCACAACAACACCGGGATATAAGAAACATACCTTGCAAGTATCAATACAATAGGTTCTCTGGATTGAAATCAAAGATCAACTGAGGGGTGGTTGGGGGTGGTTGCCACGCAACTCCCTGGAATGCCGAAGAACAACCATTATCGTAACAGTGTAGGGGTGCTGTTATAGCATGAGAGCTGCCGATTGAAGGATCTATGGGTCCATGAGCTCTTTTTCGGGCGGTGCCGGAATCAGCCAGTGTCCCAATCAGCCAGGATCCAATGCGGAACCTAGTTATCCAACGGGAAAGTCGATTTCCATCTACATCTTTGGGGGATGGTGTTTCACGTGGTAGCACGCCATATAAACATTTGAAAACGATTTCTGAAGTTGGATGAGTGGCTAGCAAGAGGCTTCAAAATCCATTCAACAGAGATGTGCTGGAATATATATATATATATATTGTATATATATATATTGTATATATATATATATTGTATATATATATATTGTATATATATATTGTATATATATTGTATATATATATGTATGTATTTTATATTACATATATAAATATATATGTATATTTTACTACATATATATATATACACATATAATTATATACATTTATCTATGGTTGTTGGTGTATAGATTGTCATGTTCCTTCCATTCCGAAAAATGCTGGCTGATTCAATGATCCCAACTGACCTTGAGGCTATTCCTGTGGTGGTGGGCCGCTGGAGTTCAGCACCAGCCAAGCAAGGAAGGGAAGCCATGCGCGCTGCCCGGAGTGCGTGGCGGCCAATCGAAAGCAGCGATTTGCGCCTTTTCAGATGCTCGACGCAGGAAGGATCCAGAAATTTCAGGGCATTGCGGCAGTTCATGTCACATGGCATTACATGTTGTTGCGTTTTTTTATTCCAGTGTTTTACTATATAATGCATATCAGTACTTTATACAATGCATATTAATACATTATACAATATATATTCATACATTATACAGAGCATATCAATACTTTATACAATGCATATTAATACATTAGACAATGCGTATTAATACATTTTACAATGCATATTAGTACATTTTACAATGCATATTAGTACATTATACAATGCATATCAGTACTTCATACAATGCATATTAATACATTATACAATGCATATTAATACATTATACAATATATATTCATACATTATACAATGCATATCAATACTTTATACAATGCATATTAATACATTAGACAATGCGTATTAATACATTTTACAATGCATATTAATACATTAGACAATGCGTATTAATACATTTTACAATGCATATTAGTACATTTTACAATGCATATTAGTACATTATACAATGCATATCAGTACTTCATACAATGCATATTAATACATTATACAATGCATATTAATACATTATACAATGCATATTAGTACATTTTACAATGCATATTAGTACTTTCTACAATGCATATTTATACATTATACAATGCATATTTATACATTTTACAATGCATATTAATACATTTTACAATGCATATTTATACATTATACAATGCATATTAATACATTATACAATGCATATCAGTACTTTATACATGCATATTAATACATTATACAATGCATATTTATACATTATACAATGCATATTAATACATTATACAATGCATATTAATACATTATACAATGCATATTTATACATTTTACAGTGCGTATTAATACATTATACAATGCATATCACTACTTTATACAATGCATATTAATACATTAGACAATGCGTATTAATACATTTTACAATGCATATTAGTACATTTTACAATGCATATTAGTACATTATACAATGCATATCAGTACTTCATACAATGCATATTAATACATTATACAATGCATATTAATACATTATACAATGCATATTAGTACATTTTACAATGCATATTAGTACTTTCTACAATGCATATTTATACATTATACAATGCATATTTATACATTTTACAATGCATATTAGTACATTAGACAATGCATATCAGTACTTTATACAATGCATGTTAATACATTATACAATGCATATTAATACTTTATACAATGCATATCAGTACTTTACAACGCCTATTAATACATTATACAATGCATATTAATACATTTTACAATGCATATTAGTACATTTTACAATGCATATTAGTACATTATACAATGCATATCAGTACTTCATACAATGCATATTAATACATTATACAATGCATATTAATACATTATACAATGCATATTAGTACATTTTACAATGCATATTAGTACTTTCTACAATGCATATTTATACATTATACAATGCATATTTATACATTTTACAATGCATATTAGTACATTAGACAATGCATATCAGTACTTTATACAATGCATGTTAATACATTATACAATGCATATTAATACTTTATACAATGCATATCAGTACTTTACAACGCCTATTAATACATTATACAATGCATATTAATGCATTATACAATGCATAAAAATACATTATACAATGCATATTAATACATTATACAATGCATAATCATACATTTTACAATGCATATTAGTACATTAGACAATGCATATCAGTACTTTATACAATGCATATTAATACATTATACAATGCATATTAATACATTATACAATGCATATCAGTACTTTATACAACGCATTATAATGTTGTTGTGTTTTTTTGCAATGCAATGATCATATTTCTTTTTTCGAGGTGAGCAATTTTCCAACCTGATTTTCGGGAATGGGAAGAGCCCAAGTGCCCAATTTTTGAGGCGATTTCTGAGATGAGAAGCTGATGGGTAGCTGAGAATTTGATAATATGATTTGAGAATTATCAAGAAATATCAGGAGCTACTGGATTGATAACCGCCAGAGTTTGACCTGTGAAAACTTATTGAAACACCTATTGATTATCTAGAAAGAGTGGGTCTCTCACGCTCCGGCACTTATAATGATTGCAAGCTTTATAGTAATTCATCAGGTTGTTTGCCACCTAAGTCTCGGAGCAAGAGTTATTTGTTTTTTTTCTTGTCCTTCAGCAAGCACCAACCAGAACAAACTGCCTCGTGTATCCTTGTGTATACCACTGATGGCTTGAGCTGAAATTGGATTCAATCGCTCATCATCAACCTTAAATCTCTTGGCCCTGAGATTTCAGACCATCAACATGGGTTGTCAAATTTCAAGGGGTTCTTGAAAATCTTTTAGATGATTGTAGGAACTTGACGGTGGATGATGGATTATAGGCTCACCAACCCTTGCCTTTTAGTGCAGGTGAGATCCCAATGTTTACTGGTTACTACGGTTGCTGTGATCACCCATGGATGCAAATGGGACAAACAAAATCAAAAAACACATATAATATAATACTATTTGTTGTCATCGAAATTCCACTTGATAAGTTCACCATAAACTTACCACTGGACTTACCACCTTTCAGTCGCCATGGCCTCCCCACGGGCCCCACGGTCCCCAGGCAGCGCGCCAGCCATGGCGATCAGGACCTGGACGCCGAGCTGCTGCAGAGCGTTGAGGCGCTGGACGAGGCGCGGGTGCTAGAAGCGCTGGAGGCGGGTGCTGATGCGGTGCCTCGGTGATATATATAAAAAAATGGTTTAATTTACTGGGGGATTTCCACTTAAATGATGGTTTACTGTGGGATTTATAGTGATATGATATATATATATAAACCATGGTTTAGTGATACATATACTATGGTTTAGTCTTGTTTAGTGATGTGTAGTGAAGGATTTCCACTTCATTGGGACCATAAAATGGTGATGTTTAATAAGAATGGGGAATGGGATCATAGCTAGGAGGCCCTGATTTTCTTAGCGATTGAAATTGATTTATAAAAAAAGTGCAATTACGTGAGCTATGTGTTTTTTGGTGATGATTCGGTGAGAACTATGGTTTGAACAATCATGCATAATTCATGCATCATGAATCTAAATATATTGTATGGTAGTGATAAGCCGTGGCAGACCCAAACTTTCCCAAATTATTGAGACCACAAACCATCCCCGACATTCCCCGACTTGCAAGGTGGGACCCCCTAGTGGTGGTTTGTTAAAACCCACCAACTATAATGCATAGATTTATAGATCTTTATTGTTAGCCTACTCATATACCATCTTACCATATATCTTGCCATATTATCTTCCAAGGACTGCTCCCGGCCGCTGCTCCTGCGCGACGCCAATGCCGGCCCCTGTCGCTTCCGCGCCGCCTACCGCGGCGACGGCCGCGCGGTGCCGGAGGAGGCACCGAACCAGCCGACGAGTCCGTTGAAGATGGCGGTCTTCCGTAACCTCGCGGTGAAAACATGGGTTTCGACAAAAGTCATCAGTTAGACCATGTTAGACCTGAAGAAATGGGGGGGCATGAATTTATCTTTGGACCATTTTTAATAGCCAGTCAATAAATAGAAAACATTAGAAAACAACAATAAACATGCTGGGAAAAACTCATTAAATGTGTGCGTCTATGCATGTATATGCCAGCGGGGGGAAACTGCGCCAGCGTTTTGACCGTTTTTGAAAACACACCTTTTTTATCCGTCACATGCACATCGTACATTACATCGCTGGGTTGGGGGGTGGGGATGTTAACGTTCATGTTAACTTGCGTCACATGCACATCTGACGTTACGTCACCGGGTTTGGGGGGTTGGGGATGCTAACGTTCATGTTAACTTGCGTCACATGCACATCATACGTTACGTCACTGGGTTGGGGGGATGGGGATGTTAACGTTCATGTTAACTTGCGTCACTGCGATGTGGCGACTATCAAAGTCCGCCATACCATGCAATCTCTCGACCAGATCCAACGGCCATGTTAACCCAAAATTGATGCGAAGCATCAGGGTGTGGCAATGGCGTTGGATGAACTCCAAGACCAAAGTCTTTTGGAACTCGCTGGTCGCGCCTTGAAGAACCGTATGGCGATGTAAGGTGGAAAAAAACACCGCGCACCTTTTCAGGAACAACATCCCTGTAAATTACAGGTCATCATCAAAACCACTTCAAAATCCCGGGGAATTTTAAGCCGATTTTGGGGAATGAATCGGTAGTTTCGCTATGTCGAAAGCGACATTTTTTTCAAAACGCTCAAAACGCTGGCGCAGTTTCCCCCCCGACGGGATGTATATGTATGCGTTGGTTTTAAATGGTTTTAAAATGTTTTAAAATTCATCCAGATCTAAAATATAATTATACATTAAGTATATAGAAGGTTGGGATAACCTGTTTTTTTTAAGCGATCATTGTTTTGTTGATCCGCTTTTAGTCGAACTGTCGTGGGGAAATTGATTAGTGAACGGTTCTCCCGGATTTAGTTTTTGGTAGGGATGCGTGGTGTCCTGCAATAACCACTATTTTGCAAATCCAAGGGCTGCAAAGGGATGAAATTGCTCCCCTTCTTGGGGATCTTGAAGTTCATCGGGGCATTGGTTTGGCTTCCCGGGCGGTACGTTTACGGTCATGTCATCGCTCTACACCAGACAGAAAATGTCTAAGAGCTTGGGAGGTATGAGTATTATTAAATATTATTGATATATTGGTTGTTTTTTCACTGTGTTTTCACAAATTAGATTTTTTTGGCCCCACCCTGACTGCAACTACACCACCTACATGTGAATGACCATATATGATATTGTGTAGTATCAAGTGCCCTTCCGAGGTCTATCAGATTGTATGCTGGATAAGACGACACGAATGAGGCGCCTTTCTTGAGGATGGTAGATAGATGGACGGATGGATAGACATAGATACATGGACAGATGGATGGACACTTGGATAATAATTTTGAAAAAATATGTTTGTAAATAATGATGTTGAATATATTACTGCAACTAGTCAAATAGAGAACACCTACAGTGCACCTGTGATCAATAATATTCTTTGATGGACAACGTTTTTTTCCCCCAAAGTAGACCAACTATAAGTTGGTTTATAAACCCCATTAACTATATAGTTATAACATGTTACAAGTACCATAAACCATAGTTCTATTGGAGTTATGTGCACCAACTTACTATATCCCAGAATTGGTTCTTAAGGGAAAATCTGCAGCAAATCCCTATGTTGAACGAAACATACCATGGTTTCCTGCAACATGTCCCTTAAACCAATCCAATCCATTGAACTTGGCCCCCCTTTCTAGGCTGGTTTCCATCGCCCAAGCGTTGATCGAACATGGCGCACCTGTGGCGCCCGCACGGCATCTCTTTGAATTGCGCTATGGGCCCTGTGAGCGTCACCTGGAAATCAGAAGGGTGAAAACATTGGCCATTACCACTTAATACCAGCTAATACCAGTTAATACCAGTTAATGCCAGTTAATAGGGTAAACAAAATGAATTAGAGCCATGTTCTAACCGGAGAATGGTGAACAAATCAGTGAGTGATGACTTTAATTCATGATGACTTTATTGACTCCATTAAATCATTGACGTCGTCATTTTCATGAAGTACTGAAGTAAGGTCAATTAAGGAAAGTCATGGAAAGTCAACGAAGTCTTATTCATGTCCGGACTGAAGAATAAACCGACCTGGTCATTCACCAATCGATCCATTTGGATTTTACGTGATTGTGATCATCAAGCGTCACGGAAAAACCGTTAGTAACGAACAAAGTTATACCGGCAAACATGGTGGTACACTGGTACACTGCAGATAAGATTTATATAGAATTTGTATACTATGGGCCACATGGGTATAAACGGTACTACCTGTTAATTTATTAGCAGTTTGCTGTGGAAAATCACAGCTTTTACAGGTAAATCATCGAACTAAATGGACTATGGCTTCCAGTTCGCAAACTGTCGTTTATCCTATTTATGACACACAGAATAATATCTCAATGAATCCAATTGTTTTTTTCCTTGCATTTTGTTGTTCCATTTGTTAGTAAGAT